CCTCCCCCCCCCTCACAAAAGAAAAAGAAGAAAACCCCTTCCATCGCCTGGTACAGTACAATAAGAAAATATATTTCTTCAACGACTTCATTCACATTACAGGAAACCCTACCCTTTCTCATTAGTATCACATCGCGTCTAGACATCCCTTTCCGAGTCCCCTTCTTCGCAACCAACTTGTATGAAAAGAAAACAACAAAAAAGCAAGGAAATCATTCGTTCAAATCGATCAATTAAAGAAAAACTGGGCATCAGCTGTGTTCGGAGTTGGATGCGCGTTCTTCGTGTCATTGGTGAACCTCACACCACTGCCGTTCTTTCTTTTCGAGTCATTACGTTGGAGACCCTCGGGTGCACCAACAGCACTGATTCTTGCTGTCGATTGGGAATTCATGGGATCTCGCCGAGTACTGGGATCGACAATGTAAGAATCAGGCCGCGGCCGACCCTTTCCATGGCTTGCTCGGGGCGTACTCTCCATATCTGATTCAAAAGCTAGGAAGTCACTCAAATCTGGGGAAGGCTCGGAGTCGTCTGCCATGGGTGGTTCAAGGTATAAGCACACAGGTTTTTGCTCATCCAAATGACTTGTTCTCGTCCCCGGTGGGGAGAGGGAAACTTGGTGTTCATGTTCTTTAATGATCTTTTCTCGAATTTGCGTGCGCTTCTCGCGGAGAGCGGAGAGAAGCGCTTCTTCTTGCTGTGTCACCGCCATGAGACGGCTATTCTTTTCGGAGGATGCCTCGCGGAAGTTCATGGAGGCCGGAGAGAGGGGTGGTGTTGGCTGGGAAGGAGCACGAGGTGGATGGGGACTAAGTGATGCCCCCGAAAGACGGGATTTTACAGATGGCCCTGAACGACCTGAACGACCAGAACGAGCTGAACTGATGGAAGGATGTGCTCTGTGACCTTTCTTATCATTCTCACGCGGTGGAGCTTGGTGGTAACTGTTTTGCTGAGCCGGAAAAACGTTGAAATCTTCTCTCCTGGACGACCGTTGTGCGGACAAGGTTGACGTTGGGATTTTCTCAGACAAGGCAATATGATTATTGAGATTTGCCGAGCCCCCTAGATCGGAATCCTTCTGTCTGTGACCATAAGCGGCCAATCCTCTAGCTGGAAGTGACTGCCGAGTGCGCTCCTCTCTCAACCGAGAGGTATTGCTAATATTTTCCTCTCCCCACGAGGCATTCTCGTTATTTCTTTGGGGAGTTCTGGTTTGTTTCGGCTCCCATGCTTCATCCTCAGAATCAGACGATAGAGAAAGCACGCTTTTGAACTTGAGATCCGAATTGGATAATGCGGTACCACTGCCATTGGTACGGCGTGATCCTTTGGACAGTACACTAGCGGAACTCGACGATACCACTTTTCTCTGGACATAATCTATAGTATCTCTTCTTTGCGGGACGTTGTCCGAACTCTCTTTCGATGACGTCGTGCTTGAGCGAACGTTTTTCCAGGAAAAGGGTGCGTTTCCTTCAGGATTCATGTTCTTTCTGTCTTCGCTGGGAGGTATCGGGAATTGGTGGTATTGTGGCGACATACTCTCATCGTCTGGGTCTATCGTCAGTTGCTGGAGAACTCCTGATTCAGGAATTTGGTCCAGCCTTGGAATTGTCATGGGGCTGCGGATGGACTGCTCAAAACTATCTTGCAAGTTTTCCAGATGTTCCATTCTGCCATTTTGCGGGTCCTGAGAGTGAGATAATCGGATACTCATATTTTGTAATTGCGCGGACTCCTTCGACCTCGATTTCCTCAATTTTCGTCTACTTGTTTCGCTTGATGGAGTATGGGAACCGTCGGTGGACATTGATGATGGGGTCATCAAAGAACTGTCCGTCGACTTTCCCGTGTTTCTTCGCGAGGGTCGTGGGAAAAGCAAAGTCAAGTCCAATTTCGCAGGCTTTTTTCGTAGCTCCTTCTCTTGATGTTGCTCCCTATCATTTCCTGGCGTCGCCTGATCTTCGTTGGCCTTGTATCCTGTCTCATACGGATCTTGATATGGCGCTTCAGACTGGAGAAGCGGGCTCCTCTGAGCGATTGGAGGAAGCCCTTTCCGTAACGCAAGATCTCTTACTGATGATGCAGAAGTTTGTTGCGACACAGATAGGGGGATATTTTGCCGATCGTAATGCGATCTTAGAGTCGAGTTTGAACTTTCATGCCTCAGCCTCCATCCCGTACCATTGTCATCTCCATAATTTTGTCCGAGTAGAGTTGAAGATGCCTTTGCGCGTAGCTTTCGTAACGAGCCTCGTTTTCCTAAAGCGTCTGATCCATTTTCCCAGTTGTCATTGTCGTTTGTTGTTTCCGAAATCGAAACATTTATTCGAGACGAGGTCGAGGATGGATATTTCCATGAAGCGCCTTCGCCAATGGTAGGCGAATTGGTGCCTAATATTTTGTTTGCTTTCGAGAGATTCGATAGACTGGGAGGCGATATGTGTTGAGGCTCCAAAGAGACGGTATTTTGACTCTCGCTCCGAGAGTGCTTCTTTCGCCCTGGTATAGGAAAGGAAAATTTTGAAGTTCGTCCCATCATTCCAATCAGATCTCAACCGATGTCGGGTGGCTGCTTTGTTTGTGAATTATAGGACTAACAAAATAAATGGCATTTGCAAAAGGAAATAAAAGCTGTACGGGCACAATTAGGACGGCGAAATGATAGTAGCAGCAGAGACAATCGTACTCGAAATATAGGATACCAGAACTCGTCAATGATACATCTTCTACGAATTCCGTGGGAACAGTGTTTTGTGAACTCCCACAACCCTTCACGACTACGGAATCGCGATGCAGCGGGGCCGAAGGATCCTCGGTTTCAAAGTCGTCTGTTTATTTTCGAGAGGATCCGTATGGGGCATAAATTACCTCGATCAGCGGACAGATTGGGAACGAGTCGCACGCAAGAAAAAGTGTCGATATAGGGAGAAGAATGAACTTGTCAATGGAAGCACAGAGTGAGAGAGAAACGACAAGAGCAAAGACAGTCAGTCACTTTCGTGTCTCTAGTGGAATTACAAGTAATCCACCTCTTCAAATCAACTAACCGAGGAATTCCAGGCAATTGGCAGGCAACTTCCCAAACGGTGCTCATTGGTCAATCCAAAGTTGGGGGGGCCCCTGGACTTGATGCGCAACGGGAAAGGGGCTCGAGGGCGGCGTGGTTGTCGTTTCCTCGCGGTGCCAAAATTGTAAATTTACTTGTAAAAGACTCCGTACGAAGTCTTCCGTACTCGGTACAGTACTCGAGTACTCCGCACATGTGTGGTGTAAATTTGGATCCGTAAATTTACTGTGGGCGTACTCGTAGGCGGGCATGGCATACCAAGCAACAGCACAGCACAGCGCAACGCATCACATCACATCACCGAGAAAGCTGTTGATCCGCACGAGTATTGCTGTTGTTGCTACGAAGTACTCTACCATTCGCCCAGCTCCGCTCGTGTCGCCGTGTCGCGAGATGAGATGCTGCACGCACTTCAGAGGACCAAGAGGTGTAGGGCCCAGGGGAGACAGCTGCAGGTCAGGCGGCGGATCAGCAGGATCCAACGATGTTCACTAGGTACATTCATCCCCAGAGGAAGGCCCCGAAGGTGGAAGTTCGCTAACCTACGGAGTGGCAGCGCAACGCAGCGCAGCGCAGCTCAATGTCGAATGAACCATCTCCCATTCAGCTCTCCGGATAAGGTAGGGAATAGCTAGTGAGGAACGGTCAGTGTAGGGACTCAGAGGCCCCCCTCCCCCCTACCCCCCTGGGAAAAGCAACCTGCCTCATCCAATAGCCCACAAGCGATCATCCCCACTCATGCGCTTCTGGCCGCTGGCGACCGTATCCTTGTGCTGCACACACTACACGCACCCCAATAATAGTGGCACAGGAACCCATCAAATTTGCGAACTCTAATGAGCATCGTGAGCTTCAGAAGCTGCCAGATGCAGCCTTATTCGGGGTCAATGACTACTGCAAAAGCATGCAGTACGCTCCGTAAATTTACCTCCGTACAAAATAAAATATGCTTCAAGTAAAAGTATCCGTATAGTACAAGAATAGAACCAACTAAATTTACCTCGCCTAGTCTGTCTCAAGAGGTTGGGTACTCCGGGCGCTGTCTTGGAACCTTGATGCACTTTTTCTATTGGCTCCTTGGATCAATAAAAAAGAATCCCAAATTGCAATACGAATTTCAGAGTTGGGTCTTCCAAGTAATATGACGGCGTTTCCATCCTGCGAGATGCATTAGGAGCTGCATTGGAAGATTGTTGCATGGTGCTCTGCAGAAGGAGGCCGTAGGGTGGTATTGTATAAACCCAGTTCATGCAGCGTCAGAGTAAGAAACAGTCTGGTGAAACAGTACTTGCATATCGTATCCTTAACTTCTGAGGCTTCTTCTTCGTATAAAATGGATTTTTTCCGTCAAGTGCGAGATAGGATCCAATCAGATGAAAGTCAAAACCTAGGCCAGATCATCCGATTTTCATCTCTCACTGGTTAAACTTTGGTAACGCACGACCGATCAACCACACAGACTTTCAATTGCCAGGACCAATCAAACAGACTGGCCAGAATCAAACTTATCAAAGTCAAGACATGCTCTTGAGAAAACATGATGCACTTGCGCCATTTCCATGCGGCGTCAACGGTGAATTCCGCCTCTTGATTCCTGCTCGTTTGCGGGACGTATAATTTCTGAAGCAATAGAAAAAAGAACCCAAAAAGCAATAAAACACGCGAGGTCTTAACAGACTCCGTAGGGCGGCACGGAACAAAAATAGAACCGTAAAGAACACAAGGGCCCTGCTAGCACTGTTAACAAATTTGAAGGAATTCTCAAGTAGTATGGATTTCTGAATATGTAGCTGAGATATGCAATTGGCAGAGTAACCTTGAAATGCACTAGAAACATGTAGAGAAGCAGAATACTGGCATCCTCTATATAGAGCCTCCACTTCACCCTACGTGAAGAAATGCAAAAGGATATCTCATCAACATGAACTGGCAATAACCGAACGAACGCCCAAAGCGACACCATGATAATGATCAGCCAATATACAGCAATATGTAGCTCAAATGCCAAGGGCATCTGTCAATAGGCAGCAAAAACAACTCTGATGGCTTCATTTCATTCGACAAATTCGACATAATCCTTCAGTGCATTGATTAACTCAGCATCAAACTCACTGACCCATGCAGGTAGTGATGGCATTGCCGGTGCCTGGTCCTTTACGATTCGGCGGTGCTTCACCTCAGTTGTTTCTGGTGCTGGCGATCTCTCTCTTTTCAAGGATGCCTTAGCATCTGGGAGGAGGACTGTCGGCTCTGCATTTATAATTTGATGGGCTGAGTAACATGGGGTTGACTTTGTGTCGTGATCTTCTTCTGGGAAAGAGTCAAAATCAAAGACGCCGTTGGCGAAGCTAGATGTGAGTTTTGGGCTAGTTGGTTCTAGTGCTGATATCATCGGGTCGCTGAGCTCAAGCATCCCAGCTTCAAGGCTCGTCAACGAATCACCATTAGTATGAATATTTGAAGCCGAGCGTCGATTCGGAGTATATGGTTCTTCAAAAGGGTCTTTGTTGCCATATTGCTCCCGTAATGTTGCTGGCGAAGGCAGCTCAAGATTTGAGTCAAAATCACGTTGCGAAGAAAGCGCAACACTCTTCTTCAGAGGTTCAGACGATGATGGAAACTCTATCTCGTCAAGACCATTGTCATCGGGAACAGCCTTCGCTGAGGTTCTTGACTGTGTTGTTAAAGGCATGCCATGAAGCCCTCTATTGACGTTCTTCACGAGTTTGGACGGTGATGGGAATTCTAACTCGTCAAGCTCATCGCTATCAAAAGTATTGTCGTCGGTGGGTGCAAAGGGTAGTTTTGGTGACTTCCCGCTTCCATACTCGAATGCAGGGGTTTGTTGCATCATTCGCAGAGGCCTATCCTCTTGAATGCTTGTATGGAGCTTGTGCAACTTTTGATAGTCACGAGGGGCGAATTGAGAGTAGGGAGTTTCATAATCCTCGGCAAGATCTATTACTTCAAATTCGTCTCCGTCCTGACGTTGAGATTTCTGACTTTTCAACTTCAATTTCGAGACCTACGATGGGCAGTCAATTTGAGCTCCTTGAAAAAATTGTTGTGGCACGTACCATGTTATGCTTGACGGACGCAGTTTTGTTGCTCTTGGAGGAGGCTACATTCTGCTTGGAGCTAGACGCCTAAACATGATGAGATACTCAACAGGGATGCGGGAAGTTCACGATAATTTACCTTGGTTCTGACCTTTGACTTTGGTGGTTTATCCAGGCCTTCGTGGCAACACTTGTGTTTGCAAGGGTTCCCGTTCTTGAGACCATCACGACACAAATGATTGCAGGTCCACTTACCGTTCGGCATCTGGACAGATCCCGATATGTTTGGCGTCGTGGTGTCAGTCGATTTTTTTGAGCTCTGTGCAAGCACATCTTCAACGTCAACGAATCCATCCGAGTCCCCGACAAGCTCCAATTCAGCAGCAACATTAAGAAGATCACTATCCTGGAGGTCGTCTCCACCAAATTCATCATCTGAAGCACCTTTGAATTGCGAGCTGTTTGAAACCACAGTTTTTCCGGGAGTGGGAGGTGGAAACTCAGAGGCTGGGATCTTATGCTGGATAGAATGTGTTCTTTGCGTTCCTACGATCCCATCGCAAGCTACAACACAGTATATTTCATCAATGGCACTCGGCAGTTCAGCCGTAAAGGCAAGTTCGAAGCCATGGTCAAGCTGAAGGATGCTGCCCCGCCAAAAATGTACAAGGCAGCCACTCTTGGTGGTTTCTGCTGTAAATGTCAATGAGGGCTTTAGACCATTCCACACCGGCACCCTAGTATTGGAATATCCAACGCGAACTCTGATTTTGACCTTTGGCTTCTGCTCAGTTTTGGTTGTGACTTTGTTGACTGAAAGTTCTTCGAGCGTCAAATTCGGAAATCCCGAAACCCTATCCTTTATCTGCCTTCCGAATGGAGGATTTTTCCCGACATATCTTTCGATACTTGCAGTGTCAAGGGCGGAAAGCTTCTCAATAGTATTGATATTGTGTGTCACCAACTTCCTAACTGCGACAGGGCCAATCTGGGAAACTTGTTGAAGTTGAAGGTTGGAGTGCTCCCAGAAACCCGCAGAAAAGCTCCTTGAAAGGTCAAGAGCGTGCCTTGTAGAGATCGCATCGCAATCATACGCTTTACAATCGATCACACATCGAATAAGACGCTTCATACGGTCCAATATGACAGATTTCTCTATCATAAATTGTCTTCGCAGGGTCGAGAAGTCTTTTGCAGTGGGGTGCTCCATGCCGCCTAGTTGGGATTGCACTAGCAAAGATATCTTCTGGGAAGTTGTAGAGATATTTCCCTTGGTTGGAAACTTCATAAATGGAGACTGGTTGAATTCTTTAAGACAAGCTCTCTGGTTGGGCTTCATTCTGAAATCTTGAAAATCCTTTGCCATGCAGAGAATATTGAGCTTGGTTTGTTAGCAAATGTTTAGCGTGTAATAAAAGGGGTTACCTACAATTTCCTCCGTCTTTGCTTCTTTTGATATACCCAATAATAGCTTCATCGTCTCAAATTGTATCATGTAGCGAGACATAGCGTCTCCGTACACCGTGCACTTGATTTCGTGCCCTCCAGTCACTAATTCATGTTCTCGAAGGAGTTTGATATCTCTTTCGCAAACTTGCTTAAGACGCTCATCGGTGTCGCCGCCTGGATATATACCGTCTATCTTGTAATAATTGGGATTCAATCTCATGCGAACAGCCAGAAATGTTCCTTCGAGCCATGACTTTGCGGAGCCAATGCTATTGACAGTCCCCAGTCCAATTTCAGAGTTCAGATGCTCAATGAGATTCAGGTGTAGGCTGCTTTCGAGGACATCAGTACCGGAAATCATTCTCTCATAGCGTTGCTTTTTGTCCACCTTCGTCATGATCACTGCCACCGCACTCTCCTCGAACTGAGGCCTGCCAGCTCTCCCAAGCATCTGCATAACCTCAAGATCAGAGCACTCAGCAACGTGTCCGTCTTGGAAGGTAACAGTCCCTTTCAAAATAACAAGATGACAAGGAAGGTTTACCCCTACGGCCAAAGTAGAGGTACAACATATGACACTAATATTGCCCTTGAGGAAGGAATTTTCCACAATCTGGCGATCATGATATTCAAGGCCAGCATGATGGAACGCAACGCCACATCTGGCAAGCGCTTGTAGCTCTGAATTCTGGAGGGATACCTGCTGCACTGGGGGTGACCACGCACGATCGGCAGCTGTCTGAGATGCCCACCAATCAGCGAGCAATTTGGCGGTATTTTCACATGATTTTCGCGTAAAGCAGAATATCATGATAGGCTTTTTCTCTGTATGCTTCCGAATTATTGCGGGCAGCTTTCCGTCAAGAAGTTTTTCAAAGACAAAGTCATTCATCTTGTCATCGTATCCGTAAACATGCTTTTGGAGCTTCACAGGCCGGAAGTCTTCCCCAAATGTCTCTCGATGGGCTGGAAGTTGTTGATTGCAGTGATTCTTGCCGAACCACACCGCAATGTCTTCCGAGTTGGGGATTGTAGCACTCAGCGCAACGAAACGTACATTTGCTCCCATGGACTTCATGCGAGAGACGACCGCCTCTAAAGTTGCACCCCGGACTTCCTTCACTATATGTACTTCGTCGATCAGAAAGAGCTGGACCATTTGAACCAAACGATGGTGGTCTGACCATTTGCGAGTGATGCTGTCCCACTTCTCTGGGGTCGTAATGATGACTGATGCTTTGCGTACTTTTGCCATTTCGGCATGGGTTGTATCTCCTGTGAGCTCTGCACAGTCCAAATTCAGATGAGAAAACTTCGTACTCCAGTCTCGCATACGCTCCGAGCATAGAGACTTTGTCGGCGCCTGGTAGACAATTTTGAATTGCGTAGAGCTATTCTGGTCAATAGCCCTACAAATAGCGAGCTCGAGGAGAGCAGTTTTCCCACTGCCTGTAGGAGCCGAGACAACTATGTTATCGTTGGTTCTATATATGGGGTTGAAACATTTCGATTGTACCGCGTTGAAGAGCTCGTATGGAAATACAGAACGAAATCGATCTGGTAAATCATGTGGGGAGACAAGCTGGATACCGTGAGCAAGTGGAGGAGCATGCGCAAGCGCCAATGTTTGTGGGGTACGCTTGACTGGCGATCCGTAAGGCTGCTGCTGTTTAGGGGTACTCGGGTATGGCAAAGCACTTCGACCAGCTGAGGGTTGGAATGCTGGTGTTGTACGAGCTGCTACCTTTCGGCGGCTCACTCTCTCGGCCGGACTTGAGTCGGCATGGGAGCGGGTACTGCTGAACAGCTTTCCTTCCGGGCTACGAGAAAAGGCACCTTGATGTGTCAGAGCGATCCTAGAAGCATCAAGATAGAGTGGTATAATACATACTCGGAGGGACAGGACTGGCAAGCTGTGATTGTAGTGACCGCAATGGATTTAGTGTCGAATTTACTGGCTGCTGCGGATGATGAAAAAAGCCCTGTGGCTCTGAAAAACGACCATGTGGTTGTAATGGCATCATTGTCTGCGTGAGCATAGCATTCAGAAGTCGATCTGTTTGATCCGGCTGCGTGTGTGAATTCTGCAACCGCGGATATCCTTGGTGGATTGAAGTGTTTGGGCGTGCAACTTGCTGAAAAGCAAAGTGGCTGTCTGCGTTTTCGGAGACGCCTTGATCGGCATCTTGCTGGTCATAGAGGTTACGAGGTGGGAGAGACACTCGATTCGGAGCAGAAGCTCGAGATTGTTGGGTTTGGTAGGATGACCCAAACATTGGTCGAGGGGCCGCTACAGCAGCTACATAATATTTGTTAGCATTCATGCTCCCCCCAATATCACAGCAACAAAACCTGGTCTTACTTGAACGATCAAAGATGTCTGGTTCTGTCAGAGAACGTCTTGCAGATGGCGTGAAGTTCCACTCTGACATCTGGGGCGCCATAGGTGGGAGGTTAAACGCCCGGGCTTGCTCCTGACGATGGAGGCCTTTGGCATCGTCGAGGATACTCTGCAGATAGGGATCAATGTCTCGCTCCATGCTGTCGGATTCGCATATCTTTCTCGCTTCGAGATGGATAAAGATGGGATAGTGCGGAGTTGTGGAGTAAGTGATAGCTGTAGGTTAGGAAGGTAGTAAAGTTGAATTGAATGTCGAACTGAACCTTGCAGATCAAGAGAAGTATCAGTATAGGACAGCTCTCCCCTTATCCGGACCACCAAGAGCAGAGAGAATGAGGTTCTCCCGCCTCGACGAGAACACGGAGGAAGCAGATGGAAATGTTTGGGAGCAGGGGGAAGGGGGAAAGGGTCGGAAGAGTTCTGAGAAGGTTGGACCTGTCACGTGGTCACGTGAATCGTGTTCCAGCTTAGACGAGGAAGGAGCGACTCAGCCAGGAGGGGAAAGGGGAGAGTGGCGAGAGGAACCTCGAGGCATTGGTATATGGCCAAGCCTTGCAAAGACCTTTCGTCTTCCTGCCAGCAATCCGCTCCCGTCATCTTTCGAGCCCACTCCTTTTCGCATAGCGCATACCCGCAGTATCATCTTGATAACGAGGTGGTTGCAAATGTTATTTGTGCAGCTTGAGAACGATGAGGGCTATTGCTGCATATACACGTCTACCTAAGGGGATAGCAGAGCAACGACTTGGTTTTCTGCGTAGGTATAGTATCAGTGAAGGAAACGTTCCCAGCTATAAGAAAGAGTGGCTAGGTAAACACCGAAGACCATTGAAGGTTCGAGATGTTGCTCAAATAAATCTGGAAAATCAAAACATGTTCTCCCCTCGAGCCACTTGGATCGATAATATACCACACTCGCAAGAAGAGACATAACAAAGCTTGGCATTGCTCTGCGTACACCCACTAGAATCAATGTATTCTAGAAGACTCGCTTAATCAAATGGATCATGCGAACGACTTAGGATACTTGGTTCTGTGGTTCTTTGTTACAACATTTTCCCCGTAGATATACGAGGAGCGATGACTAGTCTCTTGCATATCGCGTGTCCATGTAGCTAACAAAGGCATTGTAACTGAAATAATACCCGACTCATTAGAAACCTGATACTTTAGAAAGAGCTGCTATACCTAGCCTGCAAATATCAATCTGACTGCTCATCCGACTCCATCAGACTGATATAGCCTCTTTTGAAATCTAGGGCGAAGAGAAAGTCTCCCATCAACAGCACGAGGGGTTGAAGATGAAAGAAAAGGAAGAATAAATGACGTAAAGACCAACCCAGCAGATCATCATAGGCAACTATCTCTCTTTTGCCTGAAGCCTCCATCACTCTGTCTTTCCTTGACTGATGCAATTCTAACCATGTATCTAATGTGAACATATCCAGACATGCATGTGACCGACCCATTTTGGGAGTAAAAGAACTCCTTGATTTTTCCAATGCCACAACGCCATATTTCACACCTGTGGACGTAAAATAGATGGAAACCAGACCCACTTTGAAATCCAAACTCTGGACAATATTCTTTAACATTCCTTCCATCTATCTCGGCCTGCTCTCTTCTCTTCTGCTTCTGCGTGCGATGTTTCATCCCATAGATAGATACTCAATCATCTCGCTTTATCTTTCCCCTCGAAGAACTTGCCCGTGAGTGATGTCTTGTGGTGTTAGGGTTCGGAGTTCCAGGCCTGCTCCTGATGTTGTCTAGATTGGAATCTAACGCTGTTCTCGTGCTGAGATTCTTTTCATCCTCGAATCTAGGTGTATATCCATTATCAATTGTTGTCTTTTCGTAACTGGCGATGTTAATGGGAGGCGGCCTGTTTCGCTTTCTATCTGGGCCGCTATACAAATATGTACTGAAAATTACAAGCGCGGTACCAAAAACAAACTAAGTCATGTTAGTGATAATCGTGTTACTCCAAGGCAAGTGAAGAGGCACTTACGTTGAATGTGACCGGGAAGTCGAAGAACCAAACGCTGAAAATGAAGCTAAGAATGATGGAAATTGAGGTTGCAAAGTTTTTGGCGATATTGTCTGCGTAATTGATAGCCATAGCCACCAATACACCGCCAACAGCCTGAAAAACAATAGCAGTCCAAACAACAGCATTGTATCCAATGAAGAAGCCATTTTTCGATATCTCTTCTCCGTCTTTCATGATGACCCCAAAAATCAATGCCGGAAACAGCGAGTAAAATGAGAGCTGCACATTTCTAGTCCAGACTGTAACATGGGTGGTTGATTCTTTTAGAACCTTCTCAAAATAGACCCCCGTCAAGCCACTGATTACAGCCGCGATCAAGACAGCACAAAGCCCTATCGAATAGTTCATGGTTGGCTTTACGAGACCCAAATCTTCTTCGATTCCCTCGTATGTTGCTGATCGCTTTACAAGCCCTTCTGAAAGGCTTTCAATTCCGCGTTTGGTCAATTCTCTCGCCACATCGGCGGCTCCGTTGCCTAGTTGTCCGATTTCGTGGAAGGATCGTGGGAAGTAGAACCTAGACTGGGAGTCCTTGATGGGATTGTAAACGGAACTTTCGTGGCTCCCGGATGGCAATTGGACTACGGCAACACCTAAAGTAAGGAGCACCAGAGCAATCCATTTCTTTGAAGAGAGGGCTCTGCCGAGCATTGTAACGGAGAAAACTGCGGTTGTGAGAATCTGGAGAATTATTAGTATTCCAGATGTCCTAACTGACACGAATCCACCCACCTTCAGCTGGTACAAAATCTGAAAATGAACTGCGTCCAAGTTGCTGACCGCAACGTATTGCAGAGAGTTTTGAAAAGTATAAAGCGTTGCTGGAATAGCCAGTTTCCAACCATCGCCAGAAAATACAGACATGTATAGCTGCTCCAGAAGAACTGTCGCGGGTGTTGAGGGAGGCAAAGTTCGTGATATATCGTACATTGCGATGGTCAGAGAGACCGCAAGTTTGATTATTTCGTTGAGAAAAACTGCTGTCGAAGTAAAATATCGATGCTCACCGGCCGAGGGCATAATCCTCGAATAGTGCATGATCTAGGTGTTCGTCAACCTTGGCCTTCTTCTCATATCATTCCTTTCGACCCTCGAAGGGTTCATGTGGGACTTTGGTGCACTAACGAGTATGAGGGCCGAGTTTTGAAAGGTCAGCTAGGAAACGGGTTAGCACAAATCTCTTTCCCCCTCCTTTCGACTTCTCCTTACTGTGACTAACGACACAAGCTTCATGGGAACACCCATAGTGTTGGGCATCTTTTGCGCGTCCCCCATAGCTGGGTTGGGCTGGGCTGAACTGCTGTGCTACTGCTACTTCTGCTACTGCTGCCTCTTGACTGTGAGAAGAGATGGGTCCTTTTCTCCCTCGCCCTGAGATTTGCGCAAAGGCGGGGACGGGGACAGTTGACAAGAGAAGCGAACTCGCGAAGCAGAGTGGCTCCAGTTGATGCGAAGACGAGAAAGTGATGCGCTCCGCTCTTGGAATTGCTGCGCGATGTGTTACAGGGCAGAAGTCTGGGTGTGAATCTGAGTGGGAGTCTGTGGAGAATGCAGGTGTTCAAGTATTTTAAGATGGTTGCACTACGTACCCTACTTTACAGTACCACGCGTTGTCGCTACCAGGGGCGCAGGGGCTAGGACCGGGCTACCTAGCCGCCTCTAACCAAGCTTGCCAGGTTCCACCGGGTAAGTCCCAGGTTCCACTGGCTAGGGCTCTCGTTTGCCTGCTTTTTTGGGCTAGTTTGTATGAAGGTATATCAACATGATAATTGTTAACTAATAGTTCCCTCGGTTTAGAGAATGGTTGTTCTGTCATATGAAATTTCACGTCGTTATCTTCCCGGGCAATTGCTACAACAGCTAAGCTAATACCTCCTTATTAAATTATTCTAGACAAATAGAATAAATATTTACTACTCGTACTTACCTGATGCTTTGAGTGAGTTACTTGTGAAAAGATGCGTATCGTACTTTGTGACTTACCTATGTATAGGTGTAAGGCCACGTTACTGTTCCAATATAGAGTACAGCACGTCATTTCGAGTATATGTATAGAATGTTCTTCAAGGCTACTTTCTTTGAGTTCACGAAGCTACGTATGGTACTTTACTGGTACCAATGGTAGCGTGCGTAGTCAAAGTCATCCCGCCCTGTAATTAAGCTGCCGAGATAATATAGACACAACCCTGGAACAGCGAATAAATTTACTTTGGCTCCCTGCCCTGCCTCCCGGTGGACAAGAAAAGTGGCTGAGATTCATTTTTCTAACTATTAGCGTAAGTAAATTCTAAGTACTAAAATGTTTGAAACATCTGGAACAATTGCCTTGATTGTACTATCGTTTTCGATAAATCATTCTAATTATTCTAAATAAATAATATAATATAATAGTTTTTAGTTAAGTTAGGATAAGATAAAAGAGGTCTCTGCCACTTTTCTTGTCCATCGGGCAACGCAAAGACAACGACACTCCAACCCGAACCATGGCCAAGCCAGGATTATCCCATTGCCCCGCACCCAAGCACTTGAAACATTGTAATGGAGTAATTAATCGTGGATCGTGCCGTGATCTCCAACTGGGCCCATTTCGTGTCTCTTTCTCTCCGAAGTACTCGGCGGTATCATTAGAGTAATTACAAAGATTGTTTTATTACCGCTTACAATCTAGTCGTCAATCTTCTATATCGCCACATCAGAATATATCAAAAATCACTTGCAAACCAGGTCGTACTTATCAGCAGGTCTCAAAAATGAACAGAACAGCCTTTGGCTGATAACACAGGAGATGAAGTAAAGTAGGGAAAATAGATCCGTAGCGTCGGGAAATTTGCTTCAACGTTACGAGTAGGCTTTGGACGAACCGTTCTAGAGCAGGTTAGCATCAGAATGAAACGTCCTTAACAGCTCTCAGACACCCACCGGACAATTAACAGTAAACTTAGAACCGTCACGGACAAGAGAGTTCTAAGTATCGAATTCCACAGTATTATAGCATTGTGATTTCTACCCAGTGTTTTGAATGTAAGTTGAAAGATCTCCCACTTAATCCCAACAGAGTTACATATTTAAAATAAATCGACAATGCTACAATAAGATAATCGGTCAAAGTGAAGTAATTCAATCAAGCGCAGGTGAACTGCGGGGGCAAGTATGACACACAATGAACACATTCTACCTTATAAGTTTCAAGTGAAGTAAGGCATCGATGCACCGGCTAGTGACCTCCATACTTCATTAGGCTTGTATGAAGCGAAGACGTAACTACACCTCTTGCCCCATAGTCATTTCTACAGTTATTAATCCTGCAATTTATCCGACGGCGTAAATCTCTATAGTATATCCTACATTTATATAACAACCTCTAAAATATTTGTATACCCCCGCTCCACCAAGACTTGGGGAAGTTCTATCTTAACCAAAAGACGAGAGACAAGAAGCCAGAACCAACAAAGCAACTTTTACCTACAAGCTACAACCACACAAAAAAGTTTTCCTTCCTTCAATCTACATTCACTTTTCCGCGGAAAGAGGAGCCAAAAAGAACATACAACAGCAGGTATTCGCTGGTGGTCACCCACCCAACTACTAATCTGCCGATCTGAGGCTTGTGTATGGCAGAGCGGACGGGATGCCCAATTCTCCTCAGTCTATGGTCGTATGTGACAGCTTCACCTGTATTAATTCTCACCTCCTCGCATCTTCACTATTGCCTTTCGTCCTTACTGTAGAGGCCTCGACGACTCAATACATCATTCACCTTTTGTATAGCTCCTGTGCTATATTTTGTGCAAGCTTCCCACATAGCTCAGTTTCTCCGCTTTCACCGCTCAGCTTCCTCATTGTGAGCGAAAGGGTTAGGGCTGCCAGCGAACAGACCGCTGCACCCAGCGATACTAAGTCCAAAGAGGGCAAGGGCAGCTGAGCTACCTAGCTATCAGCCCAACAGAAATGGAAAAGTACACCACCCAAAGCATATGATTATCCAAAGCTGAGTTTACAGAATCTCAATTACACAAGTAGGAGAAGTCTTTCATCTGCTCATTTTGTTTCCTCGGGTTATCTTTTGCAGAATAGGGGAACCGAAGCCCGTGCCCATCTAGACATAAGCGAGCATTTGTAGTGAACTTGCCGTGCGATTAGACTACCCTGGCTATAGATGTAACACAGAGGAAGCTAGTACCTAGCCCCAGGAGTACCAATTGAATTAAATTTATTCTTTTGTCAAGTTGTGTGAGTTTTCCCTTCCCCCCATCTTGCTCATCCCATCAACTCCTCACAGCGCTCCAACACCCTCACCCCAGACAACCATGCGTCCCCTCTCCCCCCGCATCAAGATCATTACATGTCTAGTCCTATTCCACATATCCAGCATCTCACTCTGGACAATCCACCACCACAGCCTCCAATTCCAACGACAACCCGTGGAGCTCCTCAACAAAGCCCACGAGTACCTCACAGGGTCCCCACGGTTTCCCGTGCACAAGAACGACATCGGGTTCATTTTCAAAACGGGCTACGGAAACCAAGACAAGATCACAGCAATCCTAGACACCTTCCACAATCTCCAAAATGTGGTATTGATTGGCGACTATGCTACTAGGACAGGAACACATTTCAAGCACAAGGACTTGGAGATACCTGTCTATGATGCGATTGAGGCGACTCTTCGTGCTTTGCCGCCGCAGAGGAATAGTACAAGGGTGCGCAGTTATGAGAAGCTTACTGCGGCGATTGCTGCGGGGGATGAGGAGGTGGCTGGGAGTATTGCGAGGGCACATGGGTGGGAGCTTGATATTATGAAGGTATGTTTTTTGCGTTTCGTTTTCTTTTCTGTTAGCTGATAGCTAGCTGGCTGGGACCCCATCTAACTCATTGGATACTGTAGTGGATATCGGGTCTTGAGATTGGATACCGATTGTTGCCAAACAAGAAATGGTACAGTAGGCATTTCCCAAAGCTTTTCCTTCCTATTCTGGTTATGCCACACGTAGTCCGAGACCTATCTTTGGGAGCTGGTCTTCTTGTCTACCTTCAGATACTGGGAATTGTTTCTTCTCCAGAGAATCAGAGATGAATAATGCTGATTCGAACACATCGTATCGCACAGTGCTAGCCGACGACGACACCTTCATCATAGAAGCATCACTCATAAAAGTCCTCAGCCAACTTAATCCCCAGAAACCGCACTACCTCGGGAAAGGCATCGGGGGCAAAGTCGAAGCAGACCGCTTCGCACACGGCGGCTCAGGAATCGTCTTTTCAGGCGCCGCACTATCTCGAGTACTGAGCAATACCAGCGCAGCACATACCGCAGCTCTCACGGGAGAGCTGGGCGACGCTCTAACCACTCGCCTCGCATTGGCGAACGATGTGCACCTGGATGAGAGATTCAGCCTTCATTTCAATGGCGAGCGTCCCCGGACGACGCGCATACGACCGGATCGGCCGTGCGATCCGATTATCACCTTCCACCACATGTCGACGGCAGATATTGCGGAGTTCCAGCAAAAGCTTTTAGGTGTTACATCTCCGGTCTCGTGGATGGTTCTGTGGACGCTCTATGAAGGGAGGGGTCTCGAGACGTTTATTACCCAGCCTTTTCGATCGGATTGTGATCATGTTGGGTTGTCGGATACAGTTACTGAACATGTTGAGACGAAGGAGGATTGTCGCCGGCTCTGTGATAAGTTCGGTTCGGATTGTCTGGCGTGGACCTGGACTGCTGGGAGTCAAACGTGCCATACGAATCCGTGGATAGTTATTGGAAATGAGGCGGTTGGGAAAGTCACGGGTGTGGTGTCGAGGGGAGTCAAACTGTTGAGTAATTGCTGACAGGCCGGGGTTTACGCTACTTCGGGTTTTGTTTTATAGTAAAGTACCTATGTAATGATAGGGAATTTTCTCGTCAACTAGTACACGTTTTGGATTTACAACTGTCTAATACAAACTGTCTAATACCTAAAGAAGTGTACATAGATAGAGGTTTACGAGAACCCGCGAACTCTCAGCATACCGAAAAGAACGGAATTCAAAGTTTCAACTATGATTCAAATTACTTGATATCATAATTTAGACCCAAGAACCTGCTCACAGAATACATCCATCCCACACAGCTGTTTTAATTATACGTAGTTTACCAGAATAACATCGTCCTACCTTAAATGTACTCTACATGCAATAACCGAATCTCTTACACCATCACACAGCGTAACTTTCATAAGCGAGTTTTCATAGCACACCCCATACCTACCAAGTCAAGTCAAGTTAAGTCACAGCAATCACTTTCGACATCCCTCAGCAAAATACAGGAACAGGAATAAAATACGCTAAACACAACTAAGCTACGCCCTTCAAATAATGTGCTAGCTAGTTGAGTTTTCTCACTCACCCGAGACCGCCTTAGAAAAAATATGAAAAGTTTTCTTGTTTCCCTCCTTTCCACCGCCCAAGCACCTCCAAGCTAAGCTAATAAAAAGAAAAGCAAAATACCCCACGCTATGCAATGCAAACCGAATAAGCGAACATTGCCCTGCCAATTCCACCCATCAACCATGCGCCAAAGTGATGACACTGTATCCCGAAAGCAAAATCCACCAGAAAAACCATGATCCGAAAAAAAGGGATCGATAGACCTATACTCCATACAATGCTATTCGTCTGCCAGCATCTGAATTTCCTTTCATAATTAAAGAAGTTAGTCATGAGCGCGGAATCATCACTAGACCTCATCAACCTCCTCTACTGGTGCTCGAGCATCGTCTAATTGTAAGAGATTCCGAAAGCCACGCTGGGATGCTGGAATTCCATCTCTTGAAGCGCCGAAATCGAGAACCTAAAAGCAAGTCAGTAAGATAACATAAGGAAATGAACACGAGGTAAAATTACCTCAAGGTATGTAAGATTATCGCGCTGAACGGCGGCTACACATCTGCGTTCGTCGAATTTGACTTGCCAAACACCACTGAGATCGGTCAGGAGATCCTTCATACATTCACCGGTCTTGATGTTCCACATTTTTAACGTTCTGTCTGATCCAGAAATGACCTTTTGGCCATCGTGTTGGAAACAGGTGATGGCGCCAGTGTGAGCCGTCAATGTGCTCTTACACTGGCCGTTTTCTGGATCCCATATTCTCAATGTCGAATCAGCAGCGGCCGAGACCAGCCTTTCGTCTGCAAGGTCAAGTAATCCAACCAGAGAAGTATGCCCTTCCAAAGTGAACAAACATGCACCAGTTTCAAGAGACCATATCTTGACGAAATTGTCCATGGATCCACTAATGCATCGGTCACGTTTGTGGTCGAGAACAACACTGTAGACTTTCATGGCATGTCCAGTCAATCGGTGTAATGTCTCGCCCGTGGATATCTTCCATACTCTGACGGTATTATCGTAGCTACCGCTGACCAAAGTATCGCGATGTGCAGCGATAGCTCGTACAGAGTGGGTATGCCCACCCAGAACACGAACAAAATAAGGGCAATCTGCATCATTCAGTGGGGGGGAGGTCTGGATATAACGTTTGGATCCCTGCTCCGGTAACCTCCACACTCTAAGTTGGGAGTCTCGTGATCCTGTGATGATCAATGGTTTTTCCGGAATCATGATTGCCTGACCTTTCTCAGTCTTGCCAATATTTTCGGGCATTAGAATCTGTAGACACCGCACTGTGGAAGTATGACCGTGGAAAACCTGAGTACACAATCCTTTTTCGATATCCCAGACACGAACTGATCGATCAGTAGATCCAGAGACGAGAACGTTTCCTTGATACTGCAATGCCCAAACACCACCCTCGTGACCTTCAAGCCTCTTCCTCAAGGCGCCCGTCTTGGTATCATATACATGTATGAGGGCATCATCACTTCCGGTAATAATCTTATCATCATCGAATTGGAGACATGTGATGACATGAGCTGGATGGGCTGGGAAGGCAAAGTGATGTGGAACAACCTCAGGATTCATCCAACTATTCTTGAGCAGGTAGTGGCGTCTATAAAGAGATTTGAAAAGGTGGAGTTTCCTTAGACCAGGCAAGCCTCGTCTTGGATCTGGAACAGCTGCAGCGGCCGAAGTGGCTGCGGTCAAAGGACCCTCAGACTTGTGAAATCCAGTTGTTGAAGATTTTCCTTTATCTGTATGGCCAAAAGCCCGGCGTTTTGCACGGTCAGATCCCAGTCCGCCGGTAATACGTTTTCTCTTGCTACTTGAGCGAGGTTTTCGAATGGGCTCTTCGATGTTCTTGGTACTAGAGAGAAGAGATATGTCACCGTCCGCGTGAGGACCAGGTAGGACACTCAGATCTTCCTCGCCGCTGTTTGGTCCATAGGGATCCTGCCAACCCCAACCTTGATGAATTGCCTTTTCAAGCTCTCCGGGAGGGAGGATAAATCCGTCACGGTCCAAAAGTTCTTTCCAGCCTGTCTCGTTGGTATCAATGACATTTCTCCAGTGTTTTGAGACCCGAGCAGCGCGGCACAAATCCTTATGGTTCAAGAACCTCAGGACGTGAAGACTCAACTCAGCAGGCAATTGCTCTAAAAAGTCGCATTTGAGAGCAGGGCCAATTACATCTGCTAATACATGCAGCGTTTTCCGAGGGCATCTTCGAAGAAATTGATACATCATCAAGGTTTTCATATCATTAGGCATTGATTCAAAAGTCTGAAGCATTGATCGACTATCCATGATGGATGGGACACGGATTCGAGTTAAATCACCCGGTGGTCCAGCCTGTTCCATCGCACGAATTATTTCGTCATTATCAAGTGTCTCCTGGGTATCACCGGACTGCGTTTCGGGGCTCGTAGCAGCGGTCGAGTCGCCATCGATGGCTGCAGATTTGATATACTCGTCTTCATGAAGTTCAGCAGCTGCAAAAGTAGGCGAGAGGCCAGGACTTGGAAGGCTGGCATTTTGAGCAAATGCGGTATTGAGAACTGGGCGGTGGAGTGCCGAATTACCGAAAGATGAATTGGAGTCGTCGAGCAGTTCAAGGTCGGATTCGGCTATAGGAGGGGTTGCAACGGCATTGGCAAAAGACTCCTGGCTCTCTGCATCTATGAGGTCTTCAAAGGAATGATTGTGGCTCAACCCAGATTGCGGTGTATAAGCTTCTGAGTTGAAATTAGGCGGATGATTACGTTCCAGTGACGATGATTCCATCTCCGACATATCTGGGGTTTCTGGAAATTTATTGCGCTTTGTGATAGGCATACCCAGCCCGAAAGGTTGTGTTCGTGTTTCTGGGGTCTCTGACTGACCATCCTGGGGATGCTCAACGTCGCGATGGTTTTTGCGTGCTTTTCCAGACTTTGGAGATCTCGACCGTGAATGAAGACTTCTCCCTGCCAGTCGACCCTGCCCATCTGCATTAAAGAGAGACAATTTTTTGTTGAATCGTAAAGGCTTCTGGCGTTCGCTTGATTGTAAAGTGCCTGATGCCCGACGGCCCTCGCTTCTCGATACTTCTTGCTCATCTTTCCTTTGCAGGCGACTCTGTATGGCCGATGTTGTATCTACTCGCGAGGTCTAATTACGTGACTATTAGCTTCCTTCATTGTGAACTAGTATGATTTCCTCAAAGAACAAACCTTTCGTTGAATTTTCGGTGGGCTAATCGAAAAATCCTCTTCGTCTTGTACATGAACCTCGTAAGAAATATTCCTAAGTTGAAGAGGGGTTGGCTTGAGTGCCAGGGGATATTCCTTTGCATCGAGCAAATCTAGTGCCCGGTTTGGAAATGGAAGAGAAGGATATGCTCTTTTTGTGGTAGTTGTGGTTGTGACTGTCTTTGTCTCTATACATTCTGCCATCTCAATCTTCAGTCTTGAGGTCCGACGTGAAGTAGTCTCCTCGTCTTCTTCCCATCCCATTGAGACGGTCTGGCTTCTCGAGCGAGGCCGTAGGATCTCGGACTTGGGATGCATAGACTTCGGATTCGAGACAAAAGGACTCGGCGAGCCCTCTGATACGTAATTCTGCAAGGTATTTGGGCTAGCACTCTGCCCCATCGTGCTGCATCTTTGTGAAGTTGGCCGTGCTGGAGGTTCCATGGTGGAAGATTGCTGCTTCGTGGTGCTGTTGGCCCCGCCCCTCGATATCGAGAATGAACGCGTTCCTCGCGTGCAAAGCGCGAAGCCTCTCACGTCCTCCGATTTACTATCAAGCTGTTGGCAACACCATAGCCAACGAACACTCCCTGGAGATCTTACTGGAACTGGCGGTCGTGTGCTGTTGGTGGGGGCGAGGGGTGCGGTCGAAATCGGATGCGGAAAGGAACACGAAAGCCGGAGGTAAGTTGGCGTCTATGAAGTCTGCAACCAACACGAGTAGACAGAGACCGGGAAGGGGAAAATAATGTCGAAGAGGAGGAGTCGGTAGCAGTGTTGGAGAAGGTGGTGGAAGTGGAGGTGGAGGTGGAGGCTGACTCTGGTTGTCCGCTGGTGGTGGATGAAGCTGGCTGTGGTTCAAGTTCTCGGAGTCAAGCCCGCTTCGGGTCCCGCGCCACCTAGTTTTCTCACTGTGAGTTCCTGGCCTCCTGCCTCCTGCCTCCTGCCTCACTCATACATACTCGAGTACCCACAGCTGTTCCCCTTTTGGTAGGAAACTCGTTCAAGTACCAACTCCGACGCAACTACTCAAGGTAAGAAGCTTTCAACTATTATTTCACCTCAAGCTATTTGATTGTCCTCTGAGTCAAGAGTCACGCTACTGTTTATTGTTCAGGATGGCTATGTATTCTTTTTGCGCTATGAACTTTCTGGAGTAGACTGCAGCGGGGAGGCAGGTACTGTACGGGTAGGTATCATTCGTGGATGATGATGCTGAGTCTGATGCCATGCTGATGTAATCCTGTGGTGTATTTTTGGACGAGAATGAGCAGCAGAAAGGCTCAGCGCGAACCTGCAGCTCATCTGTTTTAGCTATTGTACTACTGTAGCGCTTCTCAACTTATTTCTTCACTCCCAGCGCGGAAGAATGGGGATTAGGTAGGGTCTTATCAAATGCCTCACGATTGAAACCAGAAGAATTCGCTGCTCCTTGACCAAGTACTAGTAATATCTATTCTGTAATCTACGCCTTCTTCCCTGTCCGTACGACCACGCGAGTAAGCCTTCATATCACATCACCACTTCACATATCAAGGCAGCGCTCACAGAGTCAACAGCTTGATAGTGCTACCGGGAACGACGGGATTGAAGAGCGCAGAGAAGGATCTTGGGGAAGAAAGGTGCTTAGAAAAGGGCACTACGAAAACGCAGATTACCAGTAGTATCACTGATGTTTTAGATGCCCATTCATCAAAACGCCCAAACAATGCCTAACGTGGACCTTGGAGCCCCACCAAAAAAAAGTATAAATAAAGTGTGCTCCAATTACTTGATACGATCCAACCTCGCTCTGTTCATGACAATTTGATCGTCCACTTTGTTGGTCTAATATGAGAGTTAGCAATCTAATCACGATCAAGAATTGAATTGAACTCACCTTGTCCGTGACCCTCTCGAGCAACACGTTCTGTGCCTCAACCTCCTGGCCTGTTGCTTTTGCCAGCAAATTCAATCGGCCCACTGCACCGCTCATGGCGTCAAGGTTAGCATCAATCTCATTCTCCATTTCATCATCTTCCGAGTCGGCCTCGAACTGATACTTTGAACGTTCTGCAAGACTGGCTTTGGCGCCCGGTGCACGATATCCGACGTCTCCGGGTTGCAGCTTTTTAAAAGTAGATTCCATTCGTTGCTGGGACCCAAAAGCGGCTTGTCGAGTAGCCTCACGTTCCTCTCTCTCGAGGCGATGCTTCTCCACGATTTCTTGGTCGCGTGCTTCTCTTCTTGAAGATACCGTGAAAGGGTTACTGACGTGGACGGCGAACATGCTCCTATTTAAAGTCTTCAACTCCTTGGCTTTCGCTTCCGCAATTCGGTTATGATTGGCGGCAATATCTAGGTTCTTCTCTGTATTGTGGATACGCTCTCCTTGTGCACCTAGTCGGGCAAGTGTTGCTCGTCCAGTCTCCTCAGCTTGGGCCGCAATTTGTAGTGCCCTTCGAGTAGATGAAACATCCTCTTGCTTCATGAAACGAATTTGTTGTTTGGTTGCTGCCACATCTTCCTCTTCCTCTTCTTCTGCTGTAAGCTGTCTATCCCCCCCATATCCACCACCATCTGCCCCTGACTCGGTACCGTAACCGCCAGGCTGTCTAGAGTTGGGTGGAGGCATAGGACCTCGCTGGGCATATCGGTCCTTCGCACCTCCAAACAACGCATCTCGATTGTCCTCTGTTGTTGTAGTATCGCTGCTGTTGTTCCGCTGTAAACCACCGTAGCCACCAGGGCCATATTTGTTTCCCGTGTCGGAAGGCGGGGCAGGAGAGGTATCATATCTATTGGCACCATAACCACCTCCGCTGCCATACTTCTCAGCTCCATATCCACTGCCATTTGAAGGAGCACGGTTTGGTGCCGGTCCTCGTCCGCCACCTGGGCCACTGGGTAGGCCACCACGTCCGGGACCTTGAGAGAGTCCTTGTCGAGCTTGCTGGTAAGGCGAGGCTGCCGGTGGTCCCGCTGGAGGCATATTCGCATATTTGTTGTTGTCCTGGGCGTATGGATCTGCGGATGGCGCTTGTTGTGCGTATGGATTTGCTGCTGGCGGAGCGTTTTTGTCGCCCTTTTCGCCCTTCTTTCCAAAGCCAAACTTCTTCATCGTGAGTGGTGGTGAGGGGTTGCAATCGAGGGGATGGTAAAGGTGAGGTAATAGGGCGTGATTGAGTTGGATTTGCAGGTATCTATCGTTCTCTTTTGAATGCAGATAGGGGATCTGAACTGTGTACGGGTATGAAGATGAAGAGGGACAGAGTAGTTTTTATGTGAGCTGAGGGTTGGGCTGTGTAAGGTTACGACGACAGAAGAAGCACAGTCCTGTCTGAGACTCCTGCGGGCGAGTTTCAATACCCACGAGGGGCATGCTAGGCATCAGGGGCAGGGGTCCATGACAAACGCCAAGGTGTCATGGGCAAGCCTCGCTTGGCGGAATATGGGGACGAAGCGGAAATAAATCCCTAGCTCCCATCCAACGACATCTCAAGGCGAGCCTCTGGTATCTATCTACCTAGGTATATACACACGACCAGAACGGTACAACAACCAAGGCCCGGTGTTCAAATTCTGGATAAGATGTACTTCCTCATATCCGGGTAGATTCAAGCCTTTTTGAGAATAATATTGCGAGAGGAGATCAGACGGCGAGAGGGGAATCGAGAACGTCGTTGATCTCATGCTTGCCTGTTAGGGATATCCATACTTGGAAGTCAGATCTCTCAATGTCTTCTCTCCTTGCGTAGGTATTTCCCTCCTCGGCATTGAAGAATATGATCTCATGAACGACTATGATCTCACGGAAGCACATCTTCCCAAACAAGACCACTTTCTTTACCCGTACTGCCATACCGGTACGTCATTTTTCATATTCTTTCGAGCGTTCAATATAATTGTAACTTTCATATTGGCCAAATTACAAGCAGAGCCGCTTGAGGTGCATTTCATATCTACTATATCAGAGCCTGCACTCAGCCTCCTGATATGCACACAGGAAGTTCTTGCCGGTGGACTCAGACAGAGGTAAGCATATGGAGGTGTTTCCCAGAGTCGTCGAGTGTCTTAACGGTTACCTCGCAAAGCACCAGAGAGAAGTGGAGGTCCACTCTTGTACTCAGAATGAGAAATATAAGTACTTGTCACTTGAGGTGATGGAAGAGTCGCAAACTCTCATTCTTTGCTCTCCTGTACGAGTTTCTAGTTCTTTTATTCTCACTGTGTTCGCTAAGCCGTAACTGAGGGCCCAAAAAAGGTAAAGGGGTACAAATTTCATCATCATATTATCTCTCTACAAAGCCATCTTTTTGTAATTTTCCTCTCATACCTGACGTTGGATTCTTTCTTATGTACTGGTGGTGTCAAACGAATGGAATTGGTGGGTGGGTGTGAGTTTGAGTGTGGATGTTGTTCGCCGCTCCTCCTCCCAATTCGCTCCTTCCGTATAGCAAAGGCAGTCGCAGTTGCGCCTTCCAATACAACACCTCGACCACCTCGACCCCCTCCCAACATATATAACCTGCACTTCCCCTCTTTCAAAATCGTCGACGACCTTCATCTCCATCACACCTTTACCACCAGACCTCATCCATCATCTGTGGTCCATCGTTTCCATCTCATTCCCACCATCAGTATCTACATCGTCATCTACATAACACCCCCATCCTCATACCCTGTCTCATCTCGCCCCAAGTTCATTCCTTCATCTCTTCTCCTTCATCCTCCCCGATACTGCAACACTGTCACATACACCACCATGCCACCGCAAACGCGTTCCGGTGGTGTCGTACCCTCTATTGAGGGCGACCTCCTGCCAGCAGCAAAGAGGATCAAGTTAACTCCAGCCATGAAAGATATGAGCGCCTTGCGTCAGCCTACAGCTAGTTCACATCGAGCTGCTGTTGTCCCAACCTCCCGGGCGACGTCCCGTGCCGTGGCAACGCCTCAACCAATGCGACGACCAATGCGACGAACACCAGCCCAAAAGCCACTGACAGTTGTCAAAACCCTTGTCAGTCAGAAATATAGCATTGAGGTAGTCAAAATCGCGCTTACGGCCACAGTAAGTTTTCCGCGATTTTGTTCAAGGCATTATTATGTTGTGTACGGCGGTGCTAACTAAGCTACAGATTTCAACTATCGCATGGGCCAGGTTTGTACTATGGTAACAACAAATCGCAACCAAAAGCTTACTTTCTATAGGAAGATCTTTGGCCGCGACGACTTCTATTACGATAGTAGAACGATTGATATTAACTCATCCGATTTGTCATACGAGAACTTTAAGAATGGCCGTGTCTTGCCTGCGATGGTACCTAGAACCGACAGCATGAGAGACCTTTTTTACTTGAAGCCCGACAGTCACAAGGCAAGTGAGAAGCTACTAACTTGGCTAGTGAGTATCCGCAACCCCGTTCTAGGCTTTTATCTAACAAGAGCAGGAGGGTAGTGTTGCAGAGGCGTTGGAAGCGGGATACCTCAAAGCTATTCAGCTAAACTTCCACGCTCCGGGGGGACGCTCAACCCCATCTAATATTCTCGAGAAATACCAGATTCTGATTAAGCACTCTCCGGGAGCCATTGGCTGGCAAATCAACACCGAAGTGCTGGGAGCTTCACAGTCGTCAGAAATGGCTACGGACTTAGTAAACCTACAACTCGTAGAACTTGCCTCGGATATTCGAAAGCGTGTAGAGTTTGAAGTTGCCCCTTTCCCTATCCCTAAAGGTCAGTTGCTATCGTATATCCTAAAGGTTTTCCGCTTCTAACTCTGTCCGCAGGAACTACAATGACGCTAGATATGTGGTTGAATGAAAAGGCGCCTGTCGGATACCAGCTTCCAGGATTCATCGACAACAATTCCGAGTTCATACCACAACTCGACGGTCATGAATCTTACCCAACAATAAGGACGCCATTTCATTCGTACGTATCACACTTAGAACTTTGCTACGACTACTGACCAAAAAGACTATCTGTCTATCTTCTAAACAGAAGCCAGGCTAGTGTTGACAGAACGGTAGCGATTCGTAACCCGCCTCCTAAAACTAATCAGAAAAGTGTTCCCAGCTACCCTCAAACACCACGCGCGGATTCGTCCACGTCGAGCATCGATCTATTGTCCACAGGTCACTATTCTGGTAACGATTTTGGTGACGATGTTAGAGCACAAGGTAATAACGTCGAAATTTCTGCTTCCATAGTAAGGCATATTATATACAGATTATTCAGCATTTAATACTAACTATGCACAAGGGCACACCAGCTTTCAGATCAAAGGTCAATTTGAACAGAGATACCCAGCTTCTCGATTCATCGCGGGCCCTATCACAACTCGGTGGACGTGCAGGAAGCGTTACCTCAACCGAAGGCTCTCCTAGCCAAAACTCTCCTGGTCCAGCTGAGTTGCTCAGACAGCGGGTCACTAGAGTTTATCTCACACCACACGTTGATCCTGTAGGAAGCATAACCTCAACCGAAGACACTCCTAGCCTAAAATCTCCTGGCTCAGCTGAGGTGCTCAGAGAGCGATTCACTAGGGATTTTCAAGCACCGCATGTTGAGCTTGCAAGAAACTTCACTATACTTGAAGGCACTCCCGGCCCAAACATTCCGACTAGGAGACCAAGCTTCAGAAAGAACAGAAAGACCGCAGACCAAAATATGTCATCATGCCAGAGTCCTCAAGTGCTATGAAAATTGTCTTCATATAGTCAATGGCTGGGGTGCATTTGTGGGGTTTTCCAGGGTGCTTTGCTCAGAGTGCTTTGCACACTTTTATTCAATCAAATCATAGCAATTAGATGATGTAGCTCAAGATGTAGCAAATCAGATATTCTGTCCTTAAGTTTGACTTGAGCATTGTCCTGGCGAAGATTGGATGGTTAGAGAGCAGTTTGAGATGATTTAGACGAACTTGAACTGCAGCCACGGAAGCTTGTCATTGGCTGCAGCACATATTGTAATTGACGTGGGTGTCACAATACAAACAAAGGCGAAGTAGGCTCTAGTATAGTAATCGGAGGAGGTGTACAATAAGTCACTACATCTTCGAGGAGGGCTGTAGATTATATTGGTGAGTAATAGTCAGTGCACTTCCTGTTGCGCTATTACGCACTGTACTGTACTCGAGGTAGCAAGGAGGTTAAATGTTTCCGGGTAAAGAGTCGGTGCTCAGAGCCTCAGAAATAGATATTTACACTTTTGTAGGAGTATCTTACAAGACTACATTTTAAATTACCAATATTAGGGTTCAGATGATGGTGATAGTTTAAGATATATGGAATTGAAATTTTTGTTCTTATGTATATAGCTAGGAAATGAGCTTGATAGATGGGTAGGTTTTCTGATAGATGGATAGAAGGAAGGAAGGCGGTAGATATTGTAGTGAGGTGGAGTTTCTTTGTTGTGTTAGGAGGGTTATTCGTGGTTGAGGTTTGGGTGGATGGGAGGAGTGAGGATGGGAGGAGTATTCTACCTGGAAGTGGGTATTCGCTTAATTGCACAGTAAGTTACTGTAGCGAGGAATCAATCGGGGCTCGTGAAATGGATACTTGAATCCCACCAAGAAAGGTTTACACCTCTTAGGATTAACTAGTCGACTATCCACTATATTCAGCACATCTAAAAAAGAATATTTGTAAAAACAATATGATACGAAAAAATTTCGGTGAAAAAATCCTTCATTTATTTTTTACTTCTTGCTCTTACTTATGATACGTTCAACATCCTCTAGACACTAATAGTCTTGAAGACATTGAAGTTCTCCCCAGTTCCCACCAAAACCCCGGGAATCTGCGGATGCCAATGTACTTCTTTTCCCTTCTGTATGTAATGCACAAACAACAACTGAGGCGGGACTTCCGAAACACCACCCGTATCCTTGCTCTCCTCATCATCCAACTCGACCGCTAGATCCCATAGCGTGAGGGTGTCGTCTCCGGCTGCGACAGCGACAATACTGTCATCGGTAGGATGCCACTCGATGCTAGTGATTTGTTCCTTGTGGAAGTTGAAGGAGGCGACGGGGGTAGGTTTTGGAGAGACGGTCGACGGAGAAGAGGGCTTCCATTGTCGGAGGTCCCAGACTGCCCATTCGCCGTCGTCGGCACCGGAGGCGAGGAGATGGGTGGTTTGACGGGACCATGACATGACATTTACGTCGGTGTTGCTGACTTGAACGCTGATTGCTGCGGTACGGGATTTGCTTCGTACGTCCCAGACTTTGATGGTTCCATCACTTGAGGCGGATGCGAAGACGTTCTTTTCTTGGGGACTCCATTGCAGTTCTTCGACGCTTCCTGTGTGTCCTAGCAAAGGTCTTGAGTCGGTGGCCCATCCATCGCCGCCTGTTCGCGTGGTGACGAAGATGCTTCCGTTGTTATCTCCTGTAATGAGTTTCCCCGTTGAGACCAGTGGTGACCAATCTACCGCATAGCCCTCCGCCTTGTGCATTCTCAGCGTGGAGATTGGTTTATTTTGTTGTGGGGTAATGACTGTGCCTGGAGTATCGAATGAAGCTAGATGAGGTGTGACATCATGAATCAAAACCACACCTGACTCCATCATACTGGCCGTTAAAGTCGTGGGCGGTCTACTCGAATCGCTCGCTGGCGTCTGGTGTACCCGAATTCTGTTCGTCGTACTAGTCAAAGGAATAACAGTCGACTCCAAAATTGGATCAGCGTCTTCGTCGTCTTCATCATCATCCGAATCCTCCTCAACATCTCTTTCCATCCTACTCAATCCGGAAAACTTCATGATCATCAATTGATTCTCCTTTTCCCGCTTATAGTCCGCCTGGGTTCCCGCAACCGCATACATCGTAGCGGGGTACGTCTTCCTATCATCTCCCAATCCGTCCTTCACAATATCGAAAGAGAGACAGGGCCAGGGTGTGCTGAGCGCATGAAGCATTTCGTAAGTCGACAAATCGGGGGATAGAGTCTGGCCAGGTTCGAGTTTATTCCTACCAACGATGAAAGTCTGTTGATCTATATCCATAGCCTCTATTTCTCATCAGTAAAACCCTCCCATCAAATTTCCTAAATTTCGCAACATACCGGCCTTCTCCTCAGCCTCTCTTTCCGCATCTGGTCTGCCATCAACACCCGCCTCCAAAATCTCATCCTCGCTCTCATAATCGTCCTCGAACTCGCCCTCGAAATCCGAAGGTTCATCATCCAATTCCTCCTTGAAAGGTCTCTCACCTCCTTTCAAAGGAACCCCTCCATTTTCAAAATCTTCAGCCGCGCGTTTTGACATCGTTCCTGTGTGGGTATGAGTAGGTATCGAGTTTGGCGCAAAAGATGGTGGTGTTCGGGAGTCGCGTTGCGGGGTTCAAAAAGATAATTTTCTTATCGCACAATCGCAAAATGTGGGTCCAACGGAGCGGATTATCCATTGGTCCGTCCCGACAACCTTAATTCCGCCATCGAGAAATCGTAGAGAACGTCGAGAAATTGAATGTAGAGCCTTGCAAAGATGTTGTACGAGCTCATCGCAATCGTAAGGCTTTCTTCAAAAACTCTGATTCTGAAGAATGCTAATATACCAACCCAGGTTCGGCCATCTGGTAACCTCGCCGAGGTAAAAGAGTACAAAACCCCCTCCCAAACCACCAACTCAACTTAACTCGCACATCCAAACCCTTCCCATTCACAACTAACATACCCCCAAGAATAGCCCGCACAGCCGGCTCGTTAATCCTCCGCTCAGGCGGCACCATCCGCGGGATCCAGAACTGGGGCGAATTCGCTCTCCCGAAGCGAACGAGGAAGCACCAGGCTCAATACACAAGTGGTCACTACTTCATCATGCGTTACGATGGCAGCTCGCGGATCCAAGACGATGTCCGGACGACGCTGGGGTTGGATCCGCGGATGATCAAGTTCACGAATGTCAAATTGGGTGATGGTACCTTGGAGAGTATCAGTAAGATTGGTGGGAATGTGGCATGGAAAGAGAGGGAGGATTTCTAGGGTGGAGAGAAGAGCTTTGGGGTCGAGGAAAAACGAGAGGAGAGGAAAAGACGAAGAAGCGCTGGGATTGATGAATCATGTGATTGGAATGAGATGTATGTATGCTTTTGGGGGATGTATAATACGGCAGGCATTGCAAGGCGAAATGGGAATTCTGAATCAAAAGGGTCACATGGAAACATTCATCATGAAGTTGGATGCAAAGTTTGCTGGATCATAATTCGTATCATGTCGATTGGAGTCTAATTCCCAGGGACTACCAAGTGCGCCGATTTACAATGCTCGCTGAAGCCACTAAGGGCAGGCCTATTTCGCTCAGAAAAAACAACAACATGCCCAACCAGCCTAGTCGGTCTCCATCTTCTCTCCCTCACCTCTTTTCTCCTTAACCCAAGCTACAAAGTCATCAATGACACTTGGCCAAGCACCATCCTCATTCCAGAAGCTCAACGTCTCATCGCTCATTGCCTTTTGTAAGAACTCCAAAGTCATGTTCCACATATCCTTGTTGACAGTTTTGGTCCATGAACCGAGAAATTCGAACCACAATGCAGTCCAACTGGTCGAGGCGGTAGTAAATGTCATTCCAGGGTGAGTGAACAAGACCTCCCAATAAGTAATTGCTTGGTCAACTGGTAGAGCCTTCTGTCCTTTCTCCCGAGCACAAACATACACATATCTGTAGACGCGCTTGTAGAGTGTCATGTCTGTGGAGAGTTGGCGAACTTGTGTAGTGATATATGCTCGTTGCTTTGATATAGTATCAGCACTAGAATATGTCAGCAAGTATTATGAAATTTCAAATGCCAGACATACCCAACAGCCTTCCATCCATTGACGAATCCTTCCTTGGTCATATCGCCGATTGAAGGTGCTTGAACAATTTCGAGGGGAATGAGCATTTCAGAATTTTCAATGTTTAGTTTGAGGTCTGCAGTCAGATATCTCATGGTTCCATCTGTTCCAACAGTGTCTTCTTCGTCATTGACATCTAATGTAAACAGATATCAGTATTGCCCATCAAAAATTTGACATAAAACTAACCGCGGTAGCTGTTGAATAGCTTCTCTAAATTGTCCTTGCTTCTGTCTACAGACGCAGCCGCACCTCCGTTGGACGCAAAATAGCTATGCAAATCTACGTTAGCATTGTTCGTGCTCCTTTTTGAGAAAGAATCCATGGCATGTCGAAAGGCAGGGACTTTTGTAATGTGTGACTCCTTATCCAAAATGATCTCTTTGACTTGCACCCCTCCCTGGACAACCTCATCATCACTGGAGGCTATGAGGCCATCAGACGCTGTGGGCGGTAAACCATTCAAAATGGATAAGCAAATATCTGAAGGTGGATTTCCAATTTGAGCCAAATTCGGTGGTGGGGTAGTTGGAAGTCGAGTAGAATACACCAGTATCTCTCTAGAGGTATGTCTATTGGTGCCCCTGAAGTACCGAGGGCGGCGCTGAGGTACTCGGTAAACAGAAAGATCTGAGGACTGTAGTGAATGCCGAGATCTTGAGGCGCCACAAGGAAGCTTCTTGGGTGGGCAGAACAAATGAGCAGAAACTCTATCATCCAAACCCTCGAATTTTGTTGGAGTCATCAGTGGATGAACTGGCTTTTCATCATAATCACCGTCAAATATCCCGCAGCCCACAGTGGTTCCCATGCGACCAATCTCCTTCACCAGAAGTAGTGGGAATATGTTGCTGAGAGGGCTGATATACTCTAGATTTGAGGTTGGTAAGAGCATCACATCGGCGATAACTTTGCGCTTGTGTGGAGTATAGACGCTCTTTGACTGCGGAAGTTCTGCAGATAGATGTTTTGAAGACAAGTCAAATTGTGACAATGACTTCCCAGTTGATTTGAGAAGCCTGTATGCAGCTGGCCCTACAAACCAGGAAATGTCCTCATAGTTAGGTGTGATGGCTTGTAAGGAGCGTGCGCCTTCCAGCCTACGTTCCCTCTTTTGGTCGGAGATCCAGCGACGGTTGTTCCATATTTCGAGTCCATAAGCAAGAGTCCCTCCAGTGGGTGCAAGCAAAGGAGGAGGATCAGCGATGATAATTCCACTTTCCCTCAGATTGTGGGGAACCTGGTCGTAGTATCTTGTTTCCCGTTTTCGCAGGGCGAGATCAAGCGACGCGCCATAAACGTACCGATGGTCAAGAATGATGTTAGGTATAGCCTCGAAGTCGGCGGCGGTAATAGACATGATAGTCAAGAGTTGAGGAAGAGGGTCGTCGATGTCCAAAAATTCGGGGCAAGACTCGAGATCGAGATCGATTGGAACGAAGGGGGAAATATGTGAATGGAAAAGAGCGCAAGTTCTTCTCTTACCTATCAGATGCTTGGTCAATCTTCCAGCCAGAGGCCTTCAGAAGCTATTGATTACAGAAGGAGCCATTAGCATCAACATTATCATCATCGCGCCTTCCAATGCTTTCCTTCCCTCCCCTCCGACCAGACCAGGGGAACCTAAGCAGTCGCAACTTACCTTTCCTGCGGTTTTCTCGTTCACACCTGTAAGTGACATGAACGTAGCAATGAGTGCTTTTTGTGCTGTAGTTGGCGGCATTTTGGCGAGCTTCCTACAGCCAGAGGCCTTTGTGGGGGAAGGAATCGGAATCCAGGAACAGTGGATGTTGTGGTTGTAGGTACGCGGTCGGCTGGTGGGTAGCTATGGAGGTTGCTTGCAGCTGCGGACGCGGGGTCATTTCATCCCAGCCCTCGCCGATAAGGAAGTGCAGGGGTCAACTATCATTAGCGAGTCACTGTGTTGCTTGAACCGACCACCACTGGGAATGATAAAGGGGAGGCGGAGGCTCCTTCACTAGGTAACCGCAGCAGATCTACTTGTGAATGTCAGCAACCACCAGCTAGACAACTCAAGTCAGTCAAGAAACTCCATGCATATATCAAGGTTCTTTCAACTTCCAGCACAAGCCCAAATCACACTACAAGGTTTCTCAACAACACACAGTCACAATCTTCATGTCAATTATTGTGATTCATCTGAGCTTCCTTCTGCCTGATTATGTTACATATGCTGCCCCAGCCTAGAAGCCTGCTTCCTTTCAAATTAACATGTCGCTCATTCCCACCCATCGCTTACCCTCCCATACCCCCCAAAACAAACTATTTACTGATTCTTGGACAAGAACCAAATGAAATTAATTACCATCCCCTTTACTCTTAATCATAGCCTCATTCCCCCACAGGCATAGATTCAGCCTCTTCTTGCAGTTGTTTCCAATTATCAGCTTGCAACTCCGAGTATTTGACTCGTTCTTGCGACCAATCTTGACACATTCGGCTCACATGGTATTGTGATGACTGGAAATTGACAAGCTCGTCTCTTATACACTCCTTAACGAAAACCCCACGTGCGTGCTGAGCAACAATAGATTGTTTATCCTGAGATGAGTTTTAGTAAATTTTCGATATCCAGTCCCATACCAACTTACCTTGATGATAGCCTCAGTGACCTTTTCAATCTCCCCTGGTTTGATCAACTCATCTGGTTTTGCACGGATAGCAACAAGCTTAGTTTCATTGCTTTGTATTCGTCTTTCCAAGTATGGGATATTGTCCTTATCGTAGCGGTCCCGGCGATCGAACATATCCCTCATGCTAACTAAGGTATCTCTTTGCCTGCGCGAAAATCCAAATTAGTGACTGATCCTTCTTTTAGCATAAAGGTAGTGTCCTTCAAGCGTGGCTTCTTTTGAGAACAGGTGATTTACCTTTTGAAATCCTCCAAAACTCCTTGGTCCCAAGCCTGGGCCTCATCTTCAAGAAGGCTTTGGCTATTGGAAAGGTGCTTGGCCATTGACTGAAGTCCGCCATTAAGAAGCGGGACATCATTGTTATCGGTTGCATATGTATCTTGGGATACATCGGTAAGAGACTGTAAGGATAGTGAGAGCCGTAGCTGATCAGCAGCAAGCCCCTCGTTTCTTTTTGCAAGTCTGTCAACCAGATTACACAAATTGATGTAAATTTCAGCGGATCGACGAATACCGGTACGGCTGGTATCAAAAAGTTCATTGAGAGTTGGCGGCAGTGAGTCTTCAAGTCCAGGAGGCAGTACCTTGCCAGCAAATTCCTCTTGAACTGAGATGGTGGCTTGCTTTCGCCATACAGCAAGCTCCTGGTACTAATTAGCTTTATTTTAGCCACAATAAGTCTCCTAAGAAAATTATGAATAATAGCTTACAGTTGGGACTGTCAAAAACATGATTACCAACTAGAAGCATATTAGCCAGGCTCTCAGGCTAGAGATCAGAGCAGGAGAAAATCTACTTGTTCCTGACTTAGCACTGGATGTCGAACAAGCGCATTGGAAAATCTCGCTAGCCCTCTCCTTCGCTTTTCTATGAATGTGTTATCAGCGGCGAGATGGCTGCCATTGACTAAAATGAGCAAGTCAGCATTGGTAAGTAAGCCACTATAACTCGCGAAACTGAGAGCTTATCTGCCAATGACAGTTTAAAATGAACGGAGGTATTTGAAATATGAAAGCAGTCCTTTCGTTCAGAGAAAAATGATGCCCAAGATTAGGAATGAGACATGGATGCTGGAGAACAACAGGCTCAATGCAGGAATACATGGTCATCTGCAAGGCCGTGTCCGATGAGGGGTGCCTCGCCCGAGGATAAATAAAATTTACATACCTCCAACTCTTTTTGGTGGAAGTAGTGGTAGTTGGCGAAAAGGATATCGCTTGTGTAAACAATCCAGAAGCCAGACAAAATCACTATATCTTCTCACCACCTTGCTTCCTCTTCGCTGACTGACAACTTGATAATTGTGATGCTGAAAAAGGAACATGCCCTCTTTCTCCGGCAGCAGTGTAATTACTATGTTCTCCTCCACGCCCCCGGAACTTATACGACCTCCCCCAAAAGAACGACTGGGAGTAGTTTCCGTTGGGCGATTGGTGCTATCTCCAGTCCCGTCAAATCCCAGAGCCCTGGTTTCGGGCTGCGCTGGGTTTCCAAAGGATGTACTAGATGTACCTACGCCATCATATGAGCCCCACACTCCTGCTGCTGGGGTCGTTGGTTCATCTGGTAGGGTTTGACTAGATGCTCCGTTGGGAGGATCACTGGTTGCAGTAGTAAAGGTACTTGTAGTCCGGGAAGGGGCGTGCGATCCATTGTTTATAGCGCGCGGTAAGGACCCGTTCGCCTTGGGTGGATTTGCATCGTGGTTGTGTTCTTTGTGTAGAGCCGGGCTCCCCCATGGATCGGCATCTGGGAAGTCCATCGAAGGCTTTCTCGGTGTTTTTGGTTTTGGCTGCGTGATTGATGCGGTGACTGAGGGCAGCGGAGGTGAGACGGCTCGTTGAGGAGGGTTTGCAGCGAGTTCGGAGGCGTCTGGAAATGTCGTCGATACTGTTGACAAACTTGGGAGCTTGGGCACAGGTAAATCTGGAGAGCTCTTATCAGTAAATTGATCCATAGGCAAGCGAAGACAACCAGCCAGGGTATGAATAGTGAGAAAGAGTCGGGACTGGCACTGGCACTGGCACTGGCACTGGGCTCAACTAACCGCGTCGCCGTTCATCCACCCCATCCAGCGTGATATCTTCCTTTTCTTGCGCCAGACCGATCAAGGCCAGCAAAACATTAAACTCGTTCCGATTCAGATCCGAGAGTTGGCCTCCCGAGGTCACCAAGCTCATGATGCGACTCTGTGCATCGGCAGAGAGATATCCAGCACTCAAAGCCTTCGCAACTCCCGCAGGGCTGATCTTGCCTGAACTGCCATCGCTCTTCAGCAGGTTATCGAATGTGTCAACATAGCTATCCGGCACCTGTGCCCCGTCGAGAAGGCCCTTGACCAAGTCTCCCCGCGCAGCCCTCCCCCTCTTGGGCGTCGGCATGCCCCAGGCTCCCTGAGCATCATCGTCAGCGAACAAAGAGGACTTGGATCGGGACGCTGCGCTGTTGCTGTCATCGTCGTCGAAGAGCGTATTGCGAGACTTGGAGGTGCTGATGGGCGCAGCCTCCTCCGGCGAAGAACCAAACAAAGACATTGCTCCAGCGGACTCTGGCTCGGGCTGGCTCTGGCTATGGCTGTGGGTGTGGTGGGGAGAAGTCAATAATAGGCAGTCATTCGCAATGGCAATGGCGCAAGTCCAAGAGTGATGCGATGCAACACAGAGCTCGCTATCGAGACATTGTCAACCATACCTGTACTGTAAGATGTACGGCTTGGGCGAAGCCATCCGCCCCACATCCCTGCCAGAAACTCCTGCCAAACGTCTGGTCAAGGTCAAAGCTACCGCTTTCTCAGCTAAATTTACACTAGCTGCTACATGCACTTGGTACGCTACTGCAAAGGAACAAGCTTTTCTACATATCTTCAAAGTCTGTTTGACTACAATTGTCAATCTGGTTTTGTCAATATGATCAATGACGTCCTCCATAAGGGGGACATCTATACCCCAGGTGACATTGGAGGGGGACACACAACGCCATATGGTACAGCCCCGGAGCTGCTACAACTGGCGAAAACAAGTACGACGGGATACGTACGTTGCTGTATCGGTTGGATGACCATGGCTGTGTGCATCATGACTGGACCACAATTCAAACCATACCCTCTGATTCTTGCTTCATACAAATCATCGGGGAATATATTTCATCATACAACCATCGTACGGGTTCTATGTCCCAGTCTTTTAGTACAACAATAAATATACACGACGGGCATGTTGCAGTCGCCCAACTATCAACTACCACAATCGGTTCTCCTTCGAGTCCTCTACATTTGCCACCTTCTTTACCTTCTTCTTCATTCCAACACTAGGCGTTTTGTAGAACAAACTTGGTCCTTGGCCCTTCTTCAACAGATGGCTCAAATATCCTCGATGCGCTGGATCTCGGTAGTACTCCAAGTCTTTTCGGCTCGTGGGATCTGGCAAACGATAAGAAAATGGTGATGCGGTTGGTGCTGTGCCTGCAAGTGTGGAAACCTCCGTAGGGCTCCAGGTGGTAGATAGTGGGGTGAAGCTGGATTCCGACTCCCCCTTCAGCAGTCTTTTTATCGATTGCTTCGTGTAATATCTTGTGGTGACTTGCCCGCCCACTGCTTCGATGGATTCAATGGCTGCTGCAGATGCTCTCGAAACCAGAATGTTGATGGGCGTCTTCAACTTCTGCTTTCCTTGTGCCAACAGCTTCACTCCATCCTTAACACCATGCAGACATCGAGATTTTGCCAATTCCTTTACCGTGATCGGCTGAGTAGGGTCCAACCGCCCTTGGTCAATCCATTCCTGGATTCTATTCAGATTGACCGTCGACATGTCCACCGAGAAGCTGTGCCTGAATTAGAGACTTGACGTAAAATAATAAGCAGGCGTAGCATACTGGTTCTCAAACCCCCTCACACCATGAACTACGTCCTGCGGCGTCTGACCTCCTTGGAAGCGCATAGGGATGCTGCCGCGCGACTTCTGTCCTTTGTGACCTCGTCCAGCGGTTTTGCCCTTTCCTGATGAGGGACCTCGTCCTCGTCGAATGCGCTTATTGTAGGCTCCGGCATTTTCAGAAAGGCTGCCCAGAACCGAGGCATGGCGAGCCTGTACGAATGGTGACAGGAGAGCGATCAATGGGGCAGAGGCTGCTGGGGCGGCTCTACAAAAGGAGGAGGCCTTGAGCGCAGGCAGTCGAGGGGGCATTGTGGTGTGTGCTGTATGTGGGTGGTGGGAGGGGGGGATGCGTGATGGTGGTAGGTGGTGCAGGAGGGATTCTGAGGCGCACAACTGAAGCAAGATGAGGGTTTATGGGCGATGGCGATGGCGATGCTGATAGCTGGGCTCTCTAGGCTCTCCCTCTCCAGGCTCTCTAGATCGTCAAAAGTCTAGGTCCTACTCGGTATGGAACCTTCAGGCCGTTGTCCCTGTACGTCAAATAAATTTGTTGGTGCTGGGAGGTTTCCAATTTGATGTTGTCGGGCCGGCTGCTCATTGGCTGAGAATCCCCTTGGCGAGCCCGGCGGCTACTTTTGGATGGCGGCCCGGTTGCTGGCATGCGGCATGCCATTGATGTGCGAAAGGCGAGCATCCGCTGGAGAGTACAAGTAGGCACTCCGCTCCTTACTCTCACTTCTCCCGTCGCCGTGCTGGAGAGGGAGACGCAGACGCAGACGCAGATGCAGATATCAATGTCCTCATCCACGTCCACGTAGCCAAGAGCGAAGTTATACACAGTATACGGTGTATAGAGAGATCCATTTGTATAAATATGGGCGGACCGGGGAGCTTTGACCGGCGTAAGCATCAGTCCTTCGCCCTCGTCGCGACCGTTGGCGCCGTTATCATCATCATCAACCTCCTCCTCATCTCAGGCATCGATGTGCGAACAAGAGTTGGGAGTATTCCCATCCCCATTCCTATCCCCATCCCGGGGAAGACCAAGGAGGCGCCGTCGGATCCAGACGTATGAAAATCCCCGTTGCGCTGCGCTGCATTGCGTTGCGTTACCTCTGCTGTTTCTGTCTAGCAGATGCTGATCGAGTGTACAGCTTCCAAAACTCACCTCGTGGCACCAAGATCATGGCAATTTTGAGGAACATGCCGCCGTGGACGATCAGCACCCCATTGTGGAGTACATGAAGAGTGCCGACAGGTCCTTTCAAGCATATGAGCAAGAAAGGTCGAAAACTTTCAGAGAAACCGTTGCAAAGTACCGCAGACGCTATGGACGACATCCACCCCCGGGCTTTCGGGAATGGTACAAGTTTGCAAAGGATAAGAACGCCCATAACATTGATGATTTCGACCAGATTATGGACGACATTCGTCCTTTCTGGGGCTTGAAACCGCTCGACATTCGATCCCTGGCCCGAGTTTTGACGGAACATGACTCTATCTCTGGTATTCATATACGGGAGGGCAAGGTGTGGAAAATCACCAACGGGGGCTGGCGGGTGGACACAATGGCTTCCATGTTGCAAAAGTTTGTCGAGTACTTGCCAGATATGGATATTGCTATGAACAGACTTGATCAACCTCGCATTGTTGTGCCGTGGGAAGATATGCAATCTCATTTGGCTGCAGAGGAAAAAAGCAGAATGGTAACACCAGAGGCTACCGCGGAATGGACCAAGGATATGGAAGGATTATTCAAGGAACAAGACGACGCTGTCCCTCTCTTCATTAACGCCCAATGGTTCGAAAGGCATGGCGGACAGTACATGGATATTGCAAAGGAAGCTTGCCCTCCAGAATCCAATGCAAGAAATGCCAGTTTTGTTCCAAGTCCAATTGACAGTTCATATAAAGACATTCGAGGGGGTTTTATTACCGATTTCAACCGCTCATCTGATCTTTGTACTATTGGCCCCGAAATACAAGATAAACATGGATTTCTGTTTGCTCCCAGTACTATAATTGCCAGCAAACGTCTATTACCGGTCTTCGGGGAGTGCAAAGTCAACGTCAACAGCGACATCCTCTTCCCAGCGAACATGTACTACTTGGATGATGATCGTTACGTCTACGATGACACCTTTGACTATGGATGGGATGATAAAAAGGACCGTCTAGTGTGGAGAGGTGTCACGTCAGGTGGGGTAAATACCGCCGATAACTGGAAAAAGATGCACCGCCAAAGGCTCGTTATGATCTCCAACACAACTATCTTGGCTAGCAAGAAGGTTCGGGTTATGGTCCAGGATTCCGAGGTGGAAGGGACCTATACCAATGATGTCAATTTCAACGCCAGTGAATTTGCAGCTGATCACAACGATGTAGGGTTCACTGAGCCCCACGCCTGCGTTCCAGATTGCAACTTTTACGAAGGTGTATGGACGTATAAAAACATAACGACCCTAAGCGAGCAATTCAGGTCGAAATACCTCGTCGACGTTGACGGTCACTCATTCTCAGGGAGATGGCATGCATTCCTAGAAAGCAAAAGTTTGGGAATCAAAAGCACAATTTTCCGAGAATGGCACGATTCAAGGTTATTCGCGTGGAGACATTTTGTGCCTATGGATAACCGATACGACGAACTTTACAGCATCCTAACGTACTTTCTTGGGTATGGTAAAAGCTCAGACCCGACGCAGCCGTATGTGCCTCGACACGATTTTGAAGCTCGAAAGCTGGGTCGCCAGGGAAGAGAGTGGGCCAAGAAGGTTCTGAGAAGAGACGATATTGAAGTAAGATCAGATACAGTCAATTTATGCACATAGTCCCATACTGACTGGGTTTTTTCAGATATACATGTTCAGACTAATGATAGAATACGCCCGAGTCATCGACGATAATCGTGACCGAATTGGTTATTCAGGAGATGGGAGTGAGCTTGACAAATACGATTCCAAGACTGCAATGAATCCGGCGAATTTCGGACATGCGTAATGGGACTTTTTTTTTGGTGTTTTTTTTTTTGGATGTATAATGCATTGATGAAGGCGGTTTGAAGTTTTTTTTAGAGCGAGGGCTAATGGTCTTGGGTCACGAAACCAAGGTGGTGGGTGTTTATTTTTGGGTGGGGGGTTTTTTTTCGTCTAGGCAATCTTTCCGCGTTTGTATAGTCTGGGATAGAAAGGGACCAAAATAGCGGTGGTTATTGGATTGTACTTTTTTGGGGGCGGTTCGGTTATTGGGTCATGATATTGATACCCCCTCCGTGTATACTAATTAGCATACTAGAATGCAATTGATATGATTGTTGATCGAGTAATCTGTTGTATATCCATCCTTTCGCGTATGTACTTGGTGCTTTACGCCCTAGGGAATCAGCGCAGTTAGTTTTCTTGTGCCTAGTGTGGTTTATGGAAACGTAAATCAAGTAAATTCATTGAATATCGGGTGTTGAGTGAACGGCCAATTGCGCTGGATACTGATATGAGGACCTGGGAGATTGGATTGGCTTTGAATGTTTATAGTAATGAGTTATTATTTTTTTTATGTTAATCACGTTATCTAGGTAATGAAGTTTGGGACTTGGGACGTTTGATGGCGGTGGGAGTGGGAGTGGGAGTGGTAGTGCTCTGTTATAATGGGTGATAGGTTAGGTGATAGATAGCATTTCTTTTGGTTGGGAGGGTGGTGGGTGTGTTTATATGGTGTGCGTTAAGCGAGAGGGTGTATGATGGGACTAGATAGCTCGCGTTACTACACTCTGCAGACGAGGTGTCATGTATACAAATAATAAATATTAAGCCCATAGTCTAGCCTTTTAAACTAATCAGATTCTCTAATTCTTGTGAAGGTTTAGTGGAATTTAACGACTCTTTATTAAATAGATTTACTAGACGATACTCTTAGGATAATGTTTTTTATTTAATTAAAGAGAGGTACTCGAGTAGGTGTACACTATATAAAGTAAATGGTATGTCTCTTACTAGATAGATTACATATTTCACACTTCTGATACAGTAGAAGGATACTACCCTGTCTATTCATAACGCATTTTTTATACTCTAGTTGTGCTACTACCTTTTACCTCCTAGTACAACAGTGAACAAAACACATGATTAGTATTCCAGAGTATTAAATTCTCACCTAGGGAACGAAGAATTGAAAAAGTGGTATTTTTCACAAACCAAAACCAACTCGACATATCTTGAACTGCAATGGGAGAAGATGAATTGCTCTCTAAAGAAGGACCTGTATAGTACTTTCCCAATCCGGAAACGAACTGTGGTAAGAAGTGACGAGAATTCAATATCACAAACCAGTTAAGACACTTCTGAAATACCAGCTCCACGGTAGGAGACAAACCCTCCGCTTCCTCCTGGAAAACTCGTTACACGGAATACCGACGCTCTTCTCTTCGTGCTGTATAAATAGCAATGTACGTACTCGTATGCACACAGCAACCCATCTCACCACACCTCTCAACAAATCATATCACTAACAAACATAAGCATCCATCCATCCAAAACCCCATCAGAAACAACTCACCTATACACAACCTCCACACCCCCACACCCACAAACAGTCCCCAGCACCCGATCAAACACCCCTCTCTCCCCAAAACTCAACCAAACATCCCCCTTTACTCTCGGCTCATCAAAGTGCAAATAAACCAGCAGTTCCTCCGGATTAAAAAAGACATTCCTCGCCAGACGCGGGAGAAATGCAAAAGTCGAGGAGATAGCTGTATTGTTGTAGGAGTGGGAGAAGACTCGGAAACTACCTGCTGGATGGTAGATTTCGAGGATGGGGTAGGTGTGTTGCGTGCTGGTGCTGGAGAGATGTGTGGCGGGGTGGGTTGTGATGTATCGTGTACCTGCTAAGGCGAATGTTGAGGTGGGTGGAGGTCGCCCGTAAGTTTCTGAGGGGGAGAGTGTCGTGGAAGATGGAGTGGTGGAGCGAGAGGGTTCTGGGGAGTGGTCGTAGCTCGTTTTCTCGATGGAAGGAATGGGATTGTCCTGTTTGGGGTCGGACATTGTTGTTGTTTGTTTTGCTATTTGTGCATAAACCGAATAATGGGAAAAGTGATTCGCAGGCTTGATAAGGGTGTCTCTTACTTTCCTATTCATTCGCAGGGACTTTTGCAGCGGAAGAGTTTTGTATATGTGTCTGATATGATTCATTTTCTTAGCGGCTTGGGAATAGAAAGAGGTCGAAATTACTGTGAAGGAGGTGCTGGTACGAATGTTTGGTGAATGAGCTAATGAGAACTTCCAAAGATGCAACCGCTATATATTTACGTTATATTTGCCATATGAATGATGCCCATAGGAATATTGGTCTCTTCACTCCTAATGGTCTTCGGTTGAGTCGTTATGGTTGCTCTACCACTTCTACTATTTAGGTAGCTAAGCGAGAAGAAATTCAGTAGCATCTTCATCCTCTGCAAAGGCAATTAGACGAATCATAAATAAATCAAGTTTTCGAAAGAACTCGCGCTTGTCAAGAAGAATCTCTTTGTCGATGGTTTATTGGTCAAGCTTGCGAGGAGGCATAGTGTTAAATCTATCAGTGTTAAAGTGTAGGCAGCTTAATAGAGACCTATTAGGAAGAATATCACGAGTCCCTTAGATAATTGTAAATAAAGTCAGTAATGGTTCAGGGTTATAGCTATATTATGATTACCTTCCTTACTTTACGATACAGGTTCAAGACTGAGCCATTGAATACACAAGCTCATGATCATCTCTAGCTAGCCCTTACTTATACCCATCAACCCGCCCAAAATCTCGAAATCCGCAAACAGTATCATACCGGATACTTTCACCCTAAAATTAAGCCTTCTGCCTTTTCCATAGCTCCCAGCTCTCAACCAAAGCAAGGATCTTATCAACAACAAATTCCTCGTAGCCACATCCGAATACACCAAGAAGAGTCTCCTATGGAAGAAGTTCTTGACTGTATTCGTGGTATGCGGAACTCACTCGGGTAGTTCGCATGAAGATCGGTGTTTACGGATGAGCTGGCCGTGGTTCCGGAAATGTATGTACATGTATGTGCTTACTTACTTATGTACCGTAACATTTGCTGAGTGTAGGTAAGATTACTTGTATATTTATACTTGGGAAAGAAATGCTGCTTGCTGGTGTGGAGAATAGAGATGAAGGTAGCTAGGTGGAAGTACTAGAGGGGAGGAAAATTTCTAGTACTGTTAAAGTTGTGATGGCTAGTTATATGTTGTCAGACTAGTAAGTTACTTCAAGGAACCTGGTCGGTCCTATACATGTACTGTAGCTTAGAATAGTAATATCCCAGAAGCCTCGTACAACAAAGTCAATTACAAATAGTTTAAAATAATATTTCTTTTCATTTTTACCCGTCTACGTTTATACTGCGAAAACCAAGTTCCTTATACAAAACATCTAGTGTCTTAACTTCTAGCACAAACATCACAGTACAGAGTAACAACCACATGAACCTACCACACCCCCTATCACCACCAAATCTAAACGTCACTCAAACACCATGAACCTACCACACCCCCTATCACCACCAAATCTAAACATCACTCAAACATCATCCTCCTTCCCTTCCGAAATCTGCCTATTCTTCCACTCCACTAATACAATCCTCGAATTCTCCCCCGCATCAGGACGTGACTCTGTATGTCAGATCCCCACGTCGAATATTCTTTTAAAAGATCCTGCATCCAGTATTCAACACAAATGGGGTGTCGATAGTCACTGCTGACGTGGATTGGTAATTGGCACGGAGTTCGGATCCGTCGATGTGTATGTATGCCGATTCGGTTCTTGGGGGGAGGAAGTTGATAGATGTGAATTGATGAGAAATGTGAGATGTGGGTGGGAATGGGAGTACGGAGAGGAAGACTGGTTTTCGTTGTTGTAGCCTATATACAGTAGGATGCGTGGGATCAAGTCCAGGTCTTCCGGGAGGAGAGGAGATGAGGGAATGAAGAGAGATAGAATAGAACGGTAGGGAATTGTGAAGTATAGTATTGTTGAACAATGCCAGTCTGGTAATATCTGTCAAGGCTCGTTTAACTGTTTTAGCTATAGATATAGCTATGCAAGTAGATAGCGTGGTGGTACGACAATGAGGAAGTGACACCCGACCAGATTCTTCGCTAGGAACTCGACCAACGTTGGTCCCACGCACCAAATGTCCGTCAACCATCAACAATACGAGCTACAGTACTCCAATATCAACAGAAAAGCCGAGACCAAGTCGTCTCCACAGCTGACTGGGAGAAGTGATTTCAGATTTCCGTTTCATAAACTCACTCCATTCAAAATATCTACCGCAGAAACAACAGCTGTGAAACAGATTCGCTAACAGTCCTCCTGCCAGATTTTCAAGGTGGTGGTTTTTTCTGTCATCTGCGTGTTCGTGCTCGTACCGTCCAGTTCTCGTCACTTTCCCCGCCTAGATTGAAGGACGAGTACTCCCACGGAGCACAGTACTCATATTCTTACAACACATGAACAAGCCGTCAACGAGTGGCGTAGCGTACCTCTTTGCTGGCATCACCTTGTACGCGCGTGACAAATGACTCCGGTCTCGCGGGACACGAGAGAAGGCCCAGTCAAGTCAAGTCAAGTCCAGTCAGCCTCATAGAAAACGTAAGACTACGAGGAAGAAGCAATATATTTTCTGCGCCGACTTTCCAAGAGCCGACCCAAGCGATCTCTACAGGATACAGGCACGTAAGAGGACAACCAGGACCTCGCCTCGCCACAGGGCTCGCATGCCAAAGCGAGACGACTGGAAATTTTCCGGTGGTGTACTATGTTCCAATGAGAGACGCCCAATACTCCAGCCCGGAATTCCTCCTGCAATGACAGTGGCTCCTCGTGATCGTTCAGTGCATCCAATGGTGGTTTACTATATTTTGCTTCAGGGGTTGCCATTGGCCACTGGCTCACCAAGCTGCTGGAACAGGGACCAGCTCCTGCAAGTCGTGGTACGACCGACCCAGCTTCCCCGCAAATGGAAATACGGAGACTGCGACGGTCGGGAGCGGTGCCGTGCGGCATGGAAATGGAGAAGGGGACGGATGAGATGAGTCCAACCCAAGCTGGCGGACTCGCAGTCTACGTCTACTGAAGTTGCCCCTTCTCCCTTCTCTTCTCTCCTCTTCTCATCACTCTCTTGACCCTCGACTTCTTGGGACCCAATCGAATCTTCTATTGACCAGCAAACCGGTCCCCTCATTGCCTCTATAACCCCTCCAGCCAAAGTGGCAAAGCCCAAATGAGCGTCTGCTTCCAAGTGCTCATCTTCATTGAGGAGATGATGACTCCAATCTAGCGGGATAACCACTATATCAGACTGGAAAATCAACACATATACATATATCAACATACCCTGACACACGTGAGTATGGTAACAATCCTCCCGGATGGACTCTCGTGTCGAGAAACCTTCAAATTCGACTTCTGCACCAATCCGTCATTCAAATTTGCCTTTGATCGTCCTTTTCCATTTGTGCTCCCCACCAATCGACCATTCAAACGGCGAAGAGCTTTGTCGGATGTAGACGGTGACGGAAATGAGGGGAGAAAGAAAAGACGTCTACGATTACATCTCATCACCTCCCGGCTGAGTAGACCATTTTCAGAGCCAGCTACGAATATTGTAAACAGGGGACTGTCCAAAATCGCCGTGCTGGGTACGCAGAATCACGCTCTGGGTCGAAACGAATTGAGGAAAGCCGCTATAATGAACCGAGTGAAAAAGAGGATGGAATCGGCCAAGGACCACATCTGCCTTGAGCAAGAAAAGAGCCGAGCAATGCTGTCTTTCAGAGAAGTTGTACTCCAGAAGCCTCGCATACACGAATTGCCCCCGCCATCCCCACTTGGGCTGTCAAATTACGACGCTCTTGATCTGGAGGATGAACTCAGCCATAGCGGGGACGAGAGTATGGAAGGAGGATCTAACATATACTCGGATTTTAATATCATGAATCCAATAACGAGCGATGGGGATGATTACGAATACCTCGACGCCATCGATGGGCTTTCATCGCAAGACTTACCTGATACAATCCCTCAACCAGTGGAACAGGATATTGCCGAAATGTTGAGGGAAAAAGAACGGCAAGGGGATGGCGTTTTCGTTCAGGTAAGGGGGGAAAGATGAACGAGATTGTTGAGGATGATACCGCATTTGAATTCTGCGTTTTGCATGATCGGCGTTGGCAAGATTGTACGAATCGAAATTGCATTTTTGTATGGAAATACAGGAGCTGGAGCTGGAACTGCAACTGCAACTGAATTCAGGAGACATAGGACCATTTATAGGGCTTAGCCTAAGACTGTTTTTGGAGTTTGCCCGCACGATCAGCTGCGATCTCGCACATTGCCTTCAATCATCAGTCAACACAAACTTGGTCATTGCACACTACACCCTTTTTATTGAGTTCTTACCTTGATACCCTCTCTTCTCTCGAGTTTGATGTCTCCTCTATCGATCCTCGCACGCATGTTTTCCATAATGACAGGTCTCGCCCTCCCATTGACGAAGACACTGGGGACTGATCAGCTTTTGCTTTGCCAGAAACTAACGAGCTTCTCTATATTTCAAATTCAAAGCACAAGCACAGGCACATACACATATCTCAAGCCGGGAAATGTTTTCTCGTATTCGGCGTTTAGATTTCGCAGCTTTGCAGCTTCTTCTTCGCCTCCAGTGTTCAATTGAGCTTGTTCTGCTTGAGACTGCACACTATCGGCCTTTTTGTCTCCCAGTCTTGGATGGGCTCCGAGTATTTTTTCTAGCCATTGCGTGTCACTGGAAGACGGGCTCTTGGAAAGCTCAGTCAGTTGGAGCCCAACATTTGTAATGAGATCCTGGTATGAGGAAAATGTTTTGGCATGAAGAAGATCCAAAGATAAGGTATGCAAGGCAGTGCAAGGCTCAAAGAGAGCATCAAGTACTGCTACCCGTTCGGCAGTGGGTAAGGCAGGAACGCTAGCAATTGGAGGAAGTTCAAGTTTAGACATTTTGATCAATCTTTCTGAACAACCAGATGAAATATCAATCTTTAGATGTTGATGTGTTGCAGAAAGAGAGTTGAACTTAACTAGCTGCGAATGGAGCTACTGATATCCATATCAGAGGGGGAGTGATCCCTGTCTGGGGCTATTCCCCATTTAGACTAGCACAGAGTCGGCGAGTCGGCTGCCCTGCGCGACCACCCGTGACTCGGAAAAAGTCCCCAGATAGAACGGTCGATTGTTTGTTTGCGCCAGAGCAACTTGTTCCACAACACAACCAAAACAACACAATGTTGTGCTCAAGTAAGTTTCTTTGGGCCATTGACAATATACGTACGTGACTAACCGATCTACAGTCTCTGGCCAGGCGCCGCAACAGCCAGTCGCTTCCTCAAAATCAGGTAAGATTCACAGGATAGCCTTGAGAAGGCGAGGCTGACCCAGTACTGCTAGGCAACATCTACGAGAAGCGTCTGATTGAAGCATACATTGCAGAGAACCACAAGGACCCTGTCAATGGAGAAGATCTGGAGCTTACCGACCTCATTGACCTCAAATCTGCCCATATAGTCACTCCAAGACCACCAACGCTCACATCAATCCCTGCACTCCTGTCCGCCTTTCAAACTGAATGGGATGCTACGACCCTTGAGGCCTTCAATCTGCGACATCAACTAAATATAACACGTCAAGAACTGGCAACTGCTCTATATCAGCATGATGCTGCTACCCGCGTCATTGCTAGGTTGACAAAGGAGCGAGATGAATCTAGAGATGCACTGTCTAAGGTTACAGTTGGCGCAGGTGTTGCGGGAAGCGATGCTATGCAGATCGATAGCTCAGGCATACCAGAGCATTTGGTTCTAGCGGTTCAAGAAGCCCAAGTGAAGTATGTGCCCCACCTCAATGGCTGATTGACTATGCTAATATGTTCCAGGCTTTCTAAGGGTCGGCGAAAGCGAACAGTGCCTAAGGACTGGGTTAATGCAGAAGCAATCGGAAAATTTGGTGTCGCACATGCCTCTGACTCACTCTCTGGCGGAGCCAATTTTCTTGCTCTTGATGAGACCAGCGAACTTGCAATTGTTGGTGGGGCTGATGGATACGTTCACATATATTCTGTTACAGAGCAAAACACCGTCAATACGTACAGAGCTGAGGCTGCCGTTACTGATGCAGTTTGGTATGGAAAGTATCCTGTTGTCTCAACGACCTTGGGTACTGTACATGTATTTGGAAAGGAGAAGGTCATGTTCACAGCCCACGCGGGTAGAGTCAACAGCATCGACATTCATCCCACTTGTGATATACTGGCTTCTGTGGGTGTGGATAAGAGCTTAATTTTCTACGATTTAGAAGCAGGAAAGGCTATGAAGCAGGTGTATACTGATTCTGGTATGTTGCCTAATTTTGGGTGCCCCTTTTCTGATAGCAAGCCAATACTGACTGGTTCTCCTATAGAACTGACAACGGCTACCTTCCATCCTGATGGTCATGTATTCGCAGCAGGAGGAGCTGACGGCCAGATCAAAATGTTCTACGTGGAGAACGCTGAGAAGGCGGCTATCTTTGAGTTAGGCGGCCCTGTCCAAGACCTCGTATTTTCGGAGAATGGCATTTGGTTTGCTGCTGTAGCCAAAGGCTCGACCACTGTAGTGATCCTTGACATCAGAAAGCCCGAATTGCCAGATGAGGTGCGCTTGAAGGAGTTGGAGATTGGTGGACCAGTTGACACTATTGACTGGGATTACACCGGACAGTACGTAGCTGCCGCTGGACCTCGTGGTCTGACGGTCGTGAAGTACACCAAAAGCAACAAATCTTGGTCTGATGTCATCAGCAATGCTGTCCCAGCTGTTGCTATTCGATGGGGTTCCAATGCCAAGACTTTGGTAACAGTCAACAAGTCGGGCGTTATCGCAGTCCTTGGAGAAATTTGAAGAAAGTTAATTTGGAGTTTGGTGGCATTTGGATTTTTTCTCTCTCTCCCATGAGCAAAAGCAAAATTCAGGGTTTTCTCTTCCCAGAATGTTACTGTAATATTAGCGCAAGAAACATAGGCGGAGCGATACTTGTACGCAGGATACCATGGGGAAACTAAATGAAATGACAGAACGAATGAATTTTCAATTATTGACCGTCTTTGGTTTCTTTGATGTGATGTGACTTTTGGTTTATTTCTGAGATAGTATATCTCGCCTCCTGGTGCGCGGATTGTTCATACCGTAGCTGAAACTAGCGAAAAGTTGGACTTAGTACTTCTTATGACTCTACTCGTATTTGATGGGGTTTCAAGTTTATGTCTCGGGCGTATCTGGGAAATACGAGTACACATATAGAATGGGAACATAGCTCGTCTAATGGTAGTTACTACTAGAATAATCCAAGAGAAAATTATAATCATATACCTTGTAATTTCTCTCTTTTTTGATTCTTATACTCGTATTCCCTGTTTTTTTCAGGTACTCCAGAAAGAGATTATTATAGGAAGAATTCTAAAGTAGTATACTATTTTGGGGGATTTCGATTTTTAGCTAGACTAGAGTTTCGGACTTTTTAGAGTATTAGCTTATATCGGGGGAGGGTAGGAAAGGTTCTGGCGAGTCGGGATATTAGTAAGTTTAAATCCCCCTTTTTTTATAGGAATATTTATGATTTAAGTATTAATGTTTTTTCTATAGAGATTTAGAAGCTATCGAGTAATGTTACGTATATAAGTTTATTGTTGGATCATTACTCGTAATGTAGTAGCCCCCACTTGCCTGGCCCAGCCCCATGACAGGCGCTGCGCTTCAATTGTCTGCGATCCGAGATTCACCCAGGCTTGACCTTCTTGGGGCAAAGGAAGCGCTTCCTCCAACACTTCCAGACCTGACATCACGACTAACCTTCCACAACGCCAGCACACACCGACTGTTCGCACCACCTATGAGAATTGTGTTGCTCTCTCGAAGACACAAAGGAATATCTCGAGGAAAGATTATCTATCTCCGGGGGAAATGCAGAAATCGTAATGGATATAGTCTGGTCAGAACAAACTAGACGCCACAAGGTGAGTGATGTCCCCCCTTCAGCAATGGACGACATTTTGCTGACCCGCTATGATTCAGAGGTCCTTCCAAGAAGTAGATCAAGCTGAACAATCGGCATCGCCTCCGCTATCCCCAAATTCCTCTCCGGATTCCAATTTACGAGCGCAGCAACATCCTCGGGCTCGAATTCGCCGCCGTCTATCAAGCAATACAATCGCACCTTCCACTCTCAACCAACATCGTACTTCACGTCCTCATAGTCCTGTATTTGCCACTATGGCTAGTAATTCAAGGCCTCGGTCGCGCGTAGCTCCCGAGAATCGGGAGCGTACTGCAGTAATCGACCTTACAACTTTAGATTCGGATGAGTTGGAGGAAGTCAATGTTGTTCCCAGAAATCGCCTTCATAGTGGTAGAGCTCGTCAACCACCACAACTTGGAAGAAGTGATGCATCATTATTGGAGGTTATTGATTTGACAGAAGACCTGGAGCCGGAAATTGTCGCTAGTGGTGCTCACGCTTGGGGCGGGTTGCATGGTCGAAGGCGTATTCACCCACGCATGCGACGACAGGAATCACCGCCCCTTTTCGTTGACGCCGAGCCTCGGGGGCAGAATCAGGCGCAAGGACAGGATAACGCAAGGCTGATAGCCCTCAACCACCGAATGAGAATGAGACCAATACAAGGTCATATGGGACAAGAATTTGGTGAACAGCCTGGAGGACCCCACGCAGCTCTTCACGTCAACAATTTCGTTCAAGAATTCCTCCAACAACGAGAGCATATTTATCGGATTCACGACCTGAATATGGCTATGCCGGGCATCATGGATTACGCAAATCCCGCTGTTCGTAACCGCAAACCTGAATATGTCGCTCCCCCACCAGCACGCGAAGGATTCACGAGATCTTTGGACGGTTTAGCAGAAGATGACATGGTAGTCTGCGCCAGTTGCGAAAATGAATTGGTTTATCGCAAAGGTGTGGTCGAGTCACCGACAGCCAAGAAAGGAGGCAAAGCACCAACCAAAAAGGAGATTGAGGAACAGCTCGATGAACGCCCTTTTTGGGTTATCAATGCGTGCTCCCACGTAAGTTTTATCTTTCACAGATTGAAATACTCGTGTACTAACACACTCGCAGGTGTATTGCAGAAAATGTTTCCTACATCGTAATCATGGCAGCAATGCCCCAGAAGGTGTCCAATTTCGGGAGAAGAGGAAGTCCAACAAAACTAATACTAAGGTTGCCATCTGCTCGGTCGAAGGCTGTGAATCGGAAGTGAAGGAAAGAAAATCTTGGACCGGAACGTTCTTGTCTTAATTGTCTTGGTGGGGGGGCGGGGGGTCCGGTGTTTCCCTTCCGGTACATACTTGAAGTGCATATCAAGGTTATGGGCTTCCCTGGTTCTCTTTTGTTTCGATTATTTGCATTGCATGGAAAGCGCATGGAGTATGGGAAGGCTGGCTGGCACAATCAAAGGAAAGGGAATTGATACATTTATTTCGGCGTTAATGTTGGGTGGGTGGGGTGGAGATGGCGGGGAAGGGGAGGGGGGGATTATTTTGGCGGCGGCAGGCATGATACAGTAGCCCCGCCTGCGGTGGGGATTTTACATGAATTAGCTTGATGGGTCAAGGCTTTTTTCCTTNACAGCAGGGGGTGGAGATGGCGGGGAAGGGGAGGGGGGGATTATTTTGGCGGCGGCAGGCATGATACAGTAGCCCCGCCTGCGGTGGGGATTTTACATGAATTAGCTTGATGGGTCAAGGCTTTTTTCCTTTTCGAGAATTAGCTGGCCATGGACCATTGATCACTGCGTAGCGGAATAGAAACCACCTCTATTTCATACCCACTCTATTTCTTGGGCTTGTGCTCGCCAGATTTTGGATTTTGGATTTTTATGTTAATGACTACCTATTGTTGTATTATGCACAGAGCATTGTATGGGGTCTTGTTGGGAATATCTTCAGGTAAGACTTACAGTAGAGTAGAGTAGAAGTAGAAGTAGAAGTAGAAGTAGAAGTAGAAGTAGAAGTAGAAGTAGAAGTAGAAGTAGAAGTAATACTATTCCGTACGCACGCACCTACTGTACCTAACCAGCTTGGCTAGCTAATGTCTTGGTAGACAAGAGAAGAACTTAGGTTTAGCATTGATTCTCTGATCTTTCTCTGTGTTTTTGTTTGTTTGTTTCTTTTCTATTATTGTTATTGTTGTTGTGAGTTGGAAGGTTGGTTGGTTTTCAAGTATCTGCTCGTATAGTAAATGGCAGGTTTTTGGGGGGGGCGTTTTTGGATAGTTACACAGCGATATTTATAACTTGTGAAATTGTGTTGAAAAGGTGATTTTCTTGGGTAGTTTTTATATATATATAAAAGGAGTTAGCGTATATGAAAGACTTCTCGGCTACTTTTTCTTGTCTATTAGGGGCCAGCGTACGAGTACCGATATCGCGGTCCTCGCTAGAAATAGATCGCTCGCAAAGTAGACATCGGCTGAATACACCAGGATGTACAGTACACACTTGTCATGAAACGGCTTGTGAGGCTTTCACTCATTATATATTGGCATGCTTGACACTCTAGGTACTGTAGGATGGATGAAGTTAGACATACGACCTAAGAATCAAGATGAAAGAGTTGTTTGTCTATTATTTAATTAACATTCCCTAATTTAACAACCTCACCCGTCAAAATATCAAAAGAATCAGACGCAAACGGAGCCCTGATATCACCAATGTACTTGTACGAGGTCGGCTTATCGCCCTGGTCCACGAATTGGTAGCTGACTTGCATCTGGATACTCCCCGTGGCGTTCGCGCGGACCGCGGGGATCAAGCTCGAATTGAGACTTCGTCCTGCGGGTCTGTCATCGATGAGTTCACAGGGCAGTTGTGGGTCGTTGGGGGATACGTTCGTGGCTTTGCAGGTTGCGTTGAAGGCGGGTATGATGGTTGCGCCGCCGGTGGCTTGGATGCCTTGGATGCTGTAGCCTGGGGGGGATTGGTGTTAGTTTTGTTGCGGATGAGGATATTGTAGTTAGTATGATATCTTCAGAATGATTCGTTATGAGGGAAGAAAAGTATCTACTTGAGGTGTTTGGAGTTCATCATCAATTAGGACTACATAAAAGTAGTACTAGAGCGGACATTGAAGAATCTCAGCAGTTTATGAAGGGACGTTGGTTTGAGGGAGAAACATACTGTAGGTGCAATTTTCCAAGGGCGCATCGTTTTTAAGACATGAAGCTTTGTAATTCGACGCAAACCAGACATAACGGTTCCGTATCGGTAGGTGTTCGGTTCCCGGACCTACAATTTGTGGAGTTGCGACTGCAACGGCCGAGAACGAGAGAAAGGTAGCGGTAGTGAGGAGACTGAAGTGCATTTTTGAACCTTCTGAAAAGAGTGTTGAGGTTGGAAATAGGGATATATGTGAGGCTCGAATAGCTAGCTATAACTGCTGGTGATGTAATGAAGGTTGATTCTTCTTGTTTGGATGGGCTATAGGATTTCATATATACATTGGGGCAGATTGGATCTCTGATACAAATAGGACATTATAATACAGTATTGCTATTTTTGATTGAAACTCTATAGCGGAGAGAGTTGATTGGCAAGCAACACTGAAAGGTTACAGAGGAGGAGATCATGGGGCTTGGCTGGTCCTTGCGACGTGGAACTTAGGCGAAAGAATGGTGACTTTTCCTAGGGTACTGTGACATGGTCAACCCCCCTGTAAAAAGTGACATTTATTTCGTCTGAACAAAGTAACAAGGGCCATGCCAACACTTGCCAGCTTTTCTTAGCAAAAATACGATATTGTCATGCCATCGGAAGGATTAATATAATAACATTTACCAGCCATTTAGCATAACAGTACCACGTAGGACCAGAAAAAGCACAATGCTTTGCTGTCATTTGCAATCGCACTTGAATGTCTTTGCTTGCTTGCTCTTTTCGATTGCCGAAGGGGCAGGGAGTTGTCGGAGAATACTTCTTTGGAAACTTGGGAGAACGGGGGGGACCCGTAGGACCCACTGGCAACGCACACTAGGAGTATGAGGGGTTGGTTCATATAAAACATGATATCGTGAAGAGGTTGAAGGGTTGAAGGTCAAAGAGGATGGGCAAGAGGTGTTACAGAGGTACAGTAGTTAAGCATTATTAGCTCGTTCCTTTCATTTTAGATCTTCGTTACTTTTCGCACAATTTGTAGATAGCCGAGACTTTCTTAGATGTTTTTTTACTACAAGTAAACATTTGTGTTCAAAAAGTGTTCGGGTATCTATACTGCGAAAGGGTGTCCTTCGGGAGAGATACCAATGATTATCTGCGCACCGCACAGCATATGAGAAACTTGGCTCTAGATCGTAATTCATTCCTTAAACTCAAGAATATCTATGCTTCTATCTACCCTTGGTCAACAAAAGAGACAAAATCAACGCTGACTATTTCGATTCCTGAAAGGTACCCTGACCCGTAGTTATTAATACAGTATAAACACCGATAGTCACATTACTCATAACCTTCGTTTCCTCATAAAATTACTTTCCCTATCATTAGAAACAAGCAACTCGGCATAAAGTTCGACCGTCTAATCCCTCTTCCACTCCTTCCCATCAGCATCCAGCATAAATGTAAAATCCGCCTCCCCAACCAATTCCTTCACAGCATCCACCAGCTTTATGAAATCATCTATCACAAGACTAGAAGCAACCTGCATCACAGCATAGCTACTATAACCTGGCTCTTCAATATGTCTGGCATCCAAAATTCCTCTATCAAGTGTTTCAAGTCGCTTCGCAAGATCAACAACAGGGGGAGGTTGAAGGTGAGGTGGTAGAGGTTGACCTTGTGTTATGGAGGCAGAAAGAAGAGTTAGGGTGGTGGTCAGAATGTGGGAGGTTGGGGAGAGGCCTGAAACTGCTTTTGAGAGATCGTTGATCCATCTTCGGTTTTCGGGTGAAATTGGCCTGTATTCGTTAGAGGTATTCCCTATGAAGGTAGAAAAATCACAAGATTAAATGATGAAGTACATACTTTGGATTTTCTGGACTGAGTCCAGTGGACCAGCTTTGAGTTGCGTAGGATACCAGAGAGAGATAGTCCATGAGACTTCAGAACACAGGTTAGCAACCCAAACTTAGAAGCACTGTTTGTTAGAGACAGAAATTTTTCGTCGACTTACTTTTTAGCTCGAAGAATGATGTTCTCGTAAGTTTTCTGAAACTAGTTAACAGGGAATTCGGAGTTCAAAGAATAGGAGACTTGCCCTTGGAAACTTTCCTCCAATAGTGGGTTCCCATTTCTCCCCTTCGGCGTGTTCTAGAAAGTGTCAACATCCATTACAAGTCACCATCCCAGGTTTAGGCCATATAAACTTACGCTCCAATAAAGGCAGAAGTACCAAAAGCTTTCCGAAAGTCTTATGACGAACGTGCTCTAATCTTTTTCCGGGGGCAGTCTCAAGTTCCATATTGCCCTCTGTACCGTCCATTCTTGCACGGGTTGTTGCATATATGATAGCATGGTAATTGGCCAGAATATTCAAAGTAGAGCCAAGATCCCTACGAAGTTCTGATCTATGAGGCAAGTTAGAGATGAAAATATAGCAAGCTAACGCTGAACGTGTCACCTACTTATCAGTAATAGCATAGGGGAAGATTGTCCAAAAGTAAGCGACGAAAGAACCTCCAATAACGGTAGCAAGACGGTAAGGTGCATATATGTATATCGGATAGTACGGTTGACCGCCAGCAGCCGCAGCTTCCTTCCCGATTTTGTTGACTTGAAGCTCGTAGCCAACGGTCAGGATTTGAGTGATTATACAAATCAGCCATAACGCTGTATGGCGCGGATACTTCAAGAAAAAGTAATTCTCAACAAAGGTGAACAGCCAGAGGAATACGATTACTCCAGGAGTCTTTCCGTTGACGATATACCACATTACAAGAGATGTAACCCTGTCACGTCGTTTAGATATCTTAAGTCATTTCGGAAGCCAATAAAACTCACATTGCAACACCAGTTCCTACCGCCCTTGCCATGAAGCCAAATGTTGATTGCCCGCTGGTTGGTGTCATTCCGATTGCAATGATAAACATAGCCCAAACAACTTTATATCATACTGTCAGCGGATTCTTTTCGGGATCATGATGCCAAGTTAAGCCGGCTGGGAGATTAAATAGTTGGAGAGTGGTGGCAACTCAGTGTCATAATAATTCCTACTTACGTCTTTGCTCCATGAAAAAAACATAACCATTTTTCAAGTAGGCCACAATGGCAACTGACATCGTGGCACATGAAACTCGGAATCCGAAAGAGGACTAGAACATATAGCTGTTAGTATTGAAAATATACCTAGGAGTAGTAAAATAAAATAATAGTAATACGGTGCTGTAGGCGATAGAATAATCTATCAGACATTACACCAAAAGGCTAGCACAAAGAACATAATTGCCCCAGCTGACTTGATTAATGAAAGTTTACAAACTTCAATTATACCAAGCCATTTGCTTAACTGGCTTAGTTATGCGGGGCTTGTAAAATAACGTTGGCTTGACATAAGGATGTTTGAAGTGATGACTTCTTCTCTTACCTCAGTGGACCCAAGTATGCTTGGGATGATTCTAAGATGAGTACCAAATCGTTGCCAGCGGGTAGTTGGAGGCAGATGTTCAGGATCTTTCCTTGGACCGAATCCGGTACCAAGATAAATGTTGTTGGTATCCATACCTATTGCATTGGGGGCTTTCATTAAGTTAATCTCGCATTCCAATAAAAATCTCGATGGAATTTATTCAGAATACTCACATTCTGTATTTACTGTAGATCCTTCTTTGGCCACCGACTTGATCCATTTCTTGAGTCTTTCCTGTCCTGGGAGAATGAGGCGATTCTTTTGCATAGTTCCATCTCCCACTTTCTTTTCGGCAAATTTGATGAGATTTGTTATGGCAAGACCAACGGAATACAACTATCATATCAGTGTTAGTTTGTGAGTACTTATCAGCCCGTAAGACGATTGAAATTTTGAGTGGCCAACTGACCAGAAACTCCAGGTATAGAATGATATACAACTGTTGTTGATCTCGGTGATGTTTGACTTCCTCCGGTAGAGAACAATCCTCCGTGGTGGGTGGAACATTCATGGCATCGAACTGTTCTTCTGACAACCCCTTTTCTCTCGCCCAGGTCTTTAGTGCTTGGCCCCTTCTGCTATAAAACTCCGAGACTCGTGATTCAAGGTGTTTTCCAAACTCAAGTTCTCCAGGCTTTGGGCCCTCGCTCTGACTTTCTTCGATGTCTGTTTTCTTCTTTTTGGGCGGTTTTGTAATTTCAAGTAGTATAGCAGCATGCTGAAGCCCTTCGTCCATGGCGTCAACAACAATCGCAAAAGGTTCATGCAGAGCTTTCATCATCTCGTTCCAAACCCTTTTTTCCTCTTCCTTCTCACTGTGATCTGTCTCTTGCCATTGCTCCGTTTCTTGATTCTCTGGCTCAGGAGGAGGAACCCACCCACGTCGCTCAGCAGTTCTCTGAAAGATATCAACGATCGTGCTCAATCCCACGAGCGGTATTAAAATACCCCGCAAAAGTTTGAAAATTTCGTCGAGATCATTCGTATCTAGTTTTCCCCAGGCCGCTTCTCGCTTTGCAAATTTTATGTCCCCATACAACCTTCCGTGTAGGCCTTTTAGACCCTCGATTGCCCTTTTGAGGCCTGCTGCTTGTGGAGATTGAGTACTGGATAGTTTGTCCTTGCTGTCGCCCTTTTTCTTGTAAAACCACTTTTTTGTTTTACCCTTATCAGTGCTTTCCACCGGGGCGAACATATCGCTGCTCTCTAAACTCTGCACATAAGCTGTCTGCGCTTTTAACGCACCCCGTACCGCACCAAAGTAGCCCTCAAGCTCCCCGAAGACAACCTTACGGGAAGATGATGGAAATATAAGGAGATGTACTCCTGTCGAAAGTGCGAAAGCGGTCAGAAACGAAGCCAGCAGTCCTGCAAAGCACATAAAATTAGTAATCCTTCAAAGTTTAAGTGTCTGGTATACCCAGGGCATTTGAAAGCGAAAAGTAAAATTGTTCCAAAGTATTCGCATAACCATTGTAGTTATGCGGGACTTTTAAGATAATTTTGTTCCAACTTAGGTGCGTACAGAGCAATTACCACACCTCTAACTCGAGTCTTTGATGAGAGGGTGGAAAAGAGAGATTCTCTTGAAGAATATACTTACGTCCGATCAGATCCATGCCTTGGGATATTCTTGAGAATAAGGGTCCGTAGGTGAAGGCAACCTGCGAGAAAATTCCATACATAACGACCGGCATGCTTAACGCTGGAAACTTTGCTCGAAGATAGTTGACGAAATAAGTGTTGAAAAAGAGCCAAATAGCACAAATGGCCGACTGAGATGAGTTGTAAATGGCGGTAGACCCAGGAGCGGTAGTATTCTCTCTAGCTTTTACACCCGTCCAAATTCCAAAAAGAGCTATAGCAGAGCCAATGCATATCCCCAGAGTGTTGAGCACGAGGTCTTGGGTATATTTGGCACGCGGCATTATAGGAAAGCATAACACTGCAATGATAGCAACGAGGTATCCAAGGGTCCCGAATGTGTCTACGACAGAGTCGGCCTCGTAGAAAGCCTTCCAAGGTCAGTTGATAAGTTGTGGGGTAGGATTCAAGACAGATACATACGATACCAATCATAGGGGCAACGCTTCCTTTGAACATCGCCTTTAGTATCTGAACATTCAGTCCACTCTTGGCCCATGCTTTCTTGAACATTGAGACTTTCTTCTGTGGTGCTTCCTCGTTCTGGTCAGAACTTTTGACCTCACCGAGTTTCTCTCCATCGCTGTGGCCGCTTGGTGTATTGGGGCTACCAGCCCCATTCTCAGCCTCATCACTAGACACTATCGCGCCTATTTGTTGTTGGCTGGTATCGCTTTGCGATTGCTCCCGTACCATCCGAATCTCCTCCATTCCGCGCGGTAGATGTCACCAGGGGACGATCTGCGTCCAAGCGAGGAATTCGTCCCAACAGTATCGGTAAAAAAGGGGTATATTGGTGTGACTGTACAATACACCATCGGGGAACCAAAATAGTTGAAGTGTGATTTTTCTTAAGATGTCTCAATTCCCCCTTAGCTGACTGAATATTTGTTTTGTGCTAACTACAGGACAACGCCCACTGACGTCGCCCGCAGGGGCCATGGACTCGGAACTATCGTCCGATTTGGCCCGTAAGCTGCGAATACGATAAATTATTAGCTTGTCGCATCAAACTTTATGGAATACCCTTGCGAAGGTTTCCACTAACCATCCGCGATAGGCATCTTTTTTAACTACTTGTACTTTGAGGGAGTCCAGAAAATTCTAGGACGATTATGTCCAAGTAAGTCTTCCTTTCTGCTTTCAAAAGGCGCCTCAGTATGCTCAGCTAATACTCGATTTTTGTTAAATTCCATGACACGTTATTTTACGAAATACTCTGCTGAAATTAGGAAGCGAGTAAAAGCTTTCTGTCTCTCCGGGCCCCTGTGGATATAGAAACAGTTATTATAATCGTTTCGTTAATTGCCCTGCCAACTTGCTGAAACTCGCTTGCGACAGCAATTAATCCAGGCCCAACGGAAGCTTGGACGACATATTTGCCTACATGACTTGTTTCTAATAGCGAGTGTCACCTTTCGCTTGCTTCTCCTCCTTCCAAAATCGAAACCCATGGTTACGACTACCCAAGCAATATATATAAACTTGGGCTCGATCGAAGGACTGCCTAACAACATTTATCTAAGTAGCATGTATAAGTCTAGATCTTTGAAAGAAACTTTAGATGTAAGCTTATTAAGATAAGTAACATGTTCTCGTGAAATAGATATAGGGAAGATAAATACAGCTTTTTCTCTGCCCGTACACCCAGTAGTCGTAAAAGCAGTCATGAGGGAGTGAAGTCATCAGTCCTTGATTCGGTGTCTACTCGCTCAGAGAAGATTAGGTAAGTAGCTAGTCTACAAACGTTCACTGCCATTGCTGGGCCAACGTAGCCTTTTCACCTGATAGTCCACAGACAAATATACTTATATGTCCCTTAAGCGAAAGCTGGGAGATTGTATCTCAACGCAACCAGACCTAAACTAACAGAGATGAGGTTAAAGTTTTCTTTTCGCTAGATATTACCACATTGCTCCTCTAAAACACCTAGTGGTACGCGATCCATAAGAAAAGTGTACTGCATGCTATTCTTTCTTTACACACATCTCTTTCCTACTACTGTATCCACCTTGATGTTCAAGAAATCGCTTCATCGAGGTTAAGTGTAGTTCTAAATGAATTTCATCTATGGATTGGTGACCGACATGATTTCTAGCACACTTGAAGATATTTCACCATGAACCAATCAAACGCAAAGGGTGCATCGAATTTCCTCATTTCCCTGCAAAGAGGAGGGAAATGAAAACCTGAGATGTCATATCATGCTTAGCAAAATGGCCAGATGCGTGCAACTTTATAAGTAAATAGTGTAGCCCACTGAAAGATCCTAAGAAGGTTAGATTCCTTCCTGCAGTATCATACACACAAATCTCATAGCCATTTAAAATTAGTGGTCACTTGGATTTTTTCACATAATGCTACTCTATGTGACTGAATTATCTCTTTCGAGCATGCGTAAATGTGATAGTAGTAAGAAGTGGCTTTGAGGAAGTGGCATGGATATTGGTAAACAAACTGGATCTATTTCAAGTGATTCTTTCTACTTACATCTCACCTCATAATTCAGAGAAGGAGTGAGAACTCCTGAGTTAAAAGGGGTCATATTAGATGAGATTTCTCCTCGTCGCTATCGAATAATGACGCCTCTTGAATATCTTGATATCGTCACGCTGAGGATTTTGTATTGGAAGTTATAGTAAACTCACCTTATCGAGGTGGGCCAGAAATCCCATTAGAAGTAAACATTTCTTGGTCACGTTAGTTGTTGTATAGAGTACTTTCTTCTCACTGATACAGTCCACGAGATCTAATGTACTTCTCATTGGCTCAGACCGTATCGAAAATTACACAACACTCAAATAAAGTCCTCAAATAATACCAAGGCAGATTCAGCAGACTGGCTGGCCTATTTTTCGGAATAAAAGCATGCGTTCCAGATAGATAATTGTTCGAACAATATTGATATATACCCTGAGCGGAAAAGAAATAAAAAATATGGGTTGTAACTTAATGGCTAGAGCAGTCCTACAGTAGCCAGCTGTTGTTTTGGGAGTCCAAGGGTGGGATGAGTTTGGAAATGTTCCGCGTCTCTGGAAGAGACAGATCAGTTATTGCTGTTTTGTACACGTAATAGGATGCATTGAACTATCGTTAGCGTCACTACTCCATTTTAGGAGATGAAATCCAAAGTAAGGTTGGTCAGTGATGGTGGATCTCTGGCACTCATTTGGGGACAAAAGTGCGACGGCCCTGTTGTCGACCAATGGGAAGCTGCGGGGGCTGTTAGTATATTTTGAGCTAAGCGACATAAGAAGACAACGACGAGCAGTATTTCTGGGAACTGTTTAGCTACAGTTATCCAATAACAACGGGTTCCAAAGTGAAAACTGGAGTGACGATCGAGATAATAGTTCCCCACTTTGTTGATATATATATATATAGAGTAGTCGCCAGGCCACTTTACCTAGTTCCGAGAGCTCTCATAGCATTGAATTCTTTCAATATCTGCACATCATCCACTACTTACGAATACACTTCAAGTAGTTTGAAGACCGACCCCGAAAACTCCCAAACGTTGAAGCCCTACCACACTACTCCAACATGATGCAGCCAGCCGGCCGCAAGATACGTCCCCCACCACCTCCTCTAGATGCAGACTATAAACCTTCAGTCCGGATCGCCGAGCTTCCTATCATTGCCTCAGTCGATGAAATGATAGAAATTCTCGATCGAGATGGCGCGTTTATCCTCAACAACCTTCTCTCACCCGAACAACTTGCACAAGTCGAGAAAGACACTTTGGACTGGACAGGCGACAAAGCAATCAACCAGAACGGCTTAGCCATCGTTCCCAAAGAAACCCTTCTTGTCGGTGGACTTGTCGGAAAATCTCCTACGATGGCTAGTCTTTGTGAGCATCCACACCTCGTGGAGTTGCGACGACGAATCCTCACCGAGGAGGGGAGTAGGCAGCAAGAGGAAATCGACTATCCTTATCACATCGACCCCTTGCTTAGTTTGAGTCTCAGTTTCTGTGTGAGATCTGGCGCTCCAAGACAGAGACTGCATCGAGATGATATCATCCACGTGATAGATCACTCTCTGCCGTACAAGCTGGAGAAGGTAAGTCAGTTTGCGTGCTTGATAGCTGGTGTGAAAACGACCATGGAGAATAGAGCGACGATGTTTGTTCCCGGGAGCCATCGTTGGGATGAAAAGAGGTTGCCGAGGACCGATGAAGTGACTTTTGCTGGTATGCCCCATTTCTCACCTTCCTCCGAGACTGCATCCTCATTAGCGAACCATAGAAATGGAGCCTGGCTCGGCGCTTATATTCCTAGCGGGTGCCTATCATGGAGCAGGACATAATAGCGTCAAAGACTTCACGCGGGTGGTTCATGGATTGTTCTTTTGCAGAGGCATCTATCGAACTGAGGAGAACCAGTTTTTAGCAATCCCGAGGAGCAAGGTTTTGGGTATGAGTCCGATGATGTAGAACTTGCTTGGGTATAAATTACCCGATGTGCCATTGGGAATGGTCGAGAATTCTGATGTAATGACCGACTTGAAAGGCGTCTTGGAAAGGGCGAGTGTCTAGTTAGAAAGTCTGGATGAATTCAAAAAGCAGTTTGAGATACTTGGAGCAAATTAGAAATAGCGATGAGATTCACAAATATACCTATATGTTTTTCTATTGTGAGCAGGCTCACGGGGATCTCCCTTCATTACCTCACAATTAGCCTAAATATTTTCTCGGCCTCGGTGACATGGTGAAGATGCTCTTTCTCCTCTGGTTGCTAAGGACATGGAGGGGAAAAGCGGTAGATTTAACAGTCAAGGTTGTGTTCCTGAATCAAACTCGTCGTACTATCACGCCTCATTATTTCAAGGGACGTCGACATTGCTCCATATATAACTAGTTTAGAACAGTATCATCCTGAACCCTTGCACAACCAGAAAAGTTATACGAACATATGAGAACTATTGTCGCTTTTCCAATTTTATTATAGTTAGTCAGCGTGTTTAATTCGATTAGTTGATTTGATTAGTGGCACCTAATCAACTCAACTTAACGGAATCTACTAATTATACTTTTTCAACTTAACTCGATTACTACTCGAGTAGCGTTAAGTAGTTAAGTAGTTTTGTTAACACGCTATCAGTTGCGAATCAAGCTTAAATAAGTTTATACACTTTTATTCTCTACATTGCATCTACACATAAAGAACTTTCAAGCTAGCGCACTATAATAAGAGAAACAATACAATATGCACCCCAACCTATCTCCCAAAACTCTTAACCACCCCCCCTACTAGCGCCCCCCACCCCCTCCATTATTCTACCAACTAAATAGTAACAAACCTCTCTAAGTAACTATAAACAAAGTTCCACAAAGTAAAAAGTAAGATTACATCTAACTCATCTTCCTTTATATTCCTAAGAAATAAGGGGTTGTAAAGAATAAGTACCGGTAGCTTATATTTATTTATTTATTTATTGCTATTTAACGTCAGGCGGAATCTAACTCGCGTGGGCTAGGTCCTAAAAGTCCCAGTGTTGGGCAAATGACGCTAGGGGGGTGCCCTAGGCTACAGGGGGTGTAAATGAAAGTGCGCTAATTTACAAGAGATAGTTTAAAGAGAAGCCCCAATTCCGGAACAGCTCTCGTTCTGAGTTAGTTTAAGAGCTAGAGTAAAAACAAGTTAACAGTGTACAAGATAGTGAGTAGAGAACAAGAGAAGAACTATATAAGACAG